TGTCGTTGTCAACAAATATTTTTTTTTTAGTTTTACTTATTTATTTTGTGATACATACATATGTATTATATATTCGTTTTTTTATAATATATTGTTGCTTCTGCCTAAAAACTCTAATTAAATCATAAAAAATATCTTTCAAAATTTATTATACAATGTTTTATACTTTAAATATAATTTTTTATTTACAATTCAGTTTGAAACTGTATATATTTCAAATGCGTTTTTCTACTCGTAAGTAATATATCCTCAGATGGATTCATTCGGTATCCTTCTCTTCTTAATGTAAACATTTTCAAGTATTTTGATTGATCAAATTGTCACTGTATATTATATGAACGAATAAATGTATAGAAATTATAATTATCTCATTGAAAATATTTAAAACAATTGTTATTAATCATGGATCAATATTTATTGATCATTAAATGTTTTTTTTTGCTCGAATATTTAATTGTGGTACGGAAAGTCCCAGCAATTTGCCTTAAGGCACGATTGCATGCACTACTATTTGTTCAATAGTTTTGTTAAACGCGTATATTATAATAAGTTTAAACTTTTATCCAGAATATCAATTAAGCATTTGTTGATTCTATACTATAAATAGTTTTTCATTTTCATTGAATCAATCGCCATAAAGCTTGATGAAAGCTGACGCGTGTTCCAAATGTCGTGGGTCGGTCAAAAGCTCTTCGACCGTGATTGGCTGAGTGTTGGGGTAAGAGATTGTAAAGCTTTCCGCTTGAGCTTTCGCTATTGGCTGAACGATTTCTTGAAGAAAACAAATAAATAACATAAGCTTTTGAAATAATGTTAAAGGTTCTCAATCGTTTTTTTTTTTGAGAAAGCGGGATTTGATAAAAAACGAACTGATTGATCAATTCTCGTTTTAATTTAAAAATGTTTTTAATAAAATATGTATGCATTTAGGAATAAAGTTTCTCAAGTCGTGCCACAACCTATATTTTGTATGATAATCATAAATTAAATCATATGGTACCGTTAAATAATATTGTTTTATTTTATAATGAAGGATTGTTTTATTTTATAATTATATAAACTGAATTGCAAAGCCAAAACTATTCATTTGAAGCACATAAGTGAGTTTTAGAATCTTTAATTTTAGAATTAAAATTAAAATGCGAATACTTTTTGAAAATCCAACAATTTGTTTTTGAAATTATGATTTTTTTTTTTTTTGTAAGACTGACACAAATGATTGAATATAGCTTTTCTGTCAAGTTTGTACTAATATTTTTGACTCAATTGAAAGCCTATTCAATGTCTTTAAACTGAGCAAGAATATAATCCTGGCATTTTTCCTTACTAATGTTCAATATAATTATCATCAACTTCACGATTTTTAGCACTTTCTGCTATTCTGCCGAGAGTAATTGATTTTTAAATAGTCCTTTTACAATTTATATTCCATTTATCAAATATTACCGTATATGATTTACATAATTTGATTCGAGTTTTCTATCAGCTATTATGAATATGTTTATGGAGTTTCGTGCCATTGGATAATAAATTTCTGACTACGAGGACATTCGGGTCAAACGAAACTTAGATTATGCGATTCCTAATAGACTATTCGAAAGGAAATATAGAACTTTATATTATTACCAAAACCTTATAGAGTTTATCATATTATTTAAGCAATTTTAGTAATTTGTCTATAAGCATATATGGAATATAGAGCTGATTATAGTGATATAGATCGAAAAATAATCAAATGAAGGGAAGTAAGAATATGATAAATATTCATCATCAATAAATTTACTTTTTACAGAGAGTCAAAAATTACTATAAAATAAATTCAGTTATAACGTGCAAAATTATTAAGTTGGGTAAGGTTTATTTATCCATTATTTCTTCGTATTTATAAAAAAAAACTCTATAAAACCCTCTCTATTAAACTAGCACGAGTAAGGAGTTTTGTACAGTACGGTTTTGCACAATCTTCAAAAGTAAAACTAATGACAACTTAAAAAAAGAGTGCGCGTAAGGTTCACACGCGATTGAAGTATAACTTATTTGCTCCTGTATAAGATGGCATTTAAGTAAAAATAAATACATCATATAACATTTTGAATATTGTTTATTAGTAATATGGTACACTCGTGATGCACACATTTATTAGTGTCAACCATTATACACATTTATATAATGATAAATTATAGCATTAGTAATATGTATAATATTTAGAAACAATAATGTAATTAAAGTCATACTTCAAATATAACATGATCGGTTTGTCATTGTAATTAGCATTTAGAAATCAACCTTCATTAGAGAAATGAAGTAATTGCTGATTAATAAATTCTACAATATTCGTTCACACAGTGGATTTTGTTAAACGACGCCTGAACAAATATTGTTTTCGCAACTTCACTCATCATGTAATAATTGTGTTTGAAGAACTTCATGTAATTAAAATTAACATACATTTATTGACTGATTGTATTTTTTTTAACTTTTTCGCTGGCGATATAATCTCATTCTTTGAACAGCTGTAATATCTGTTTTGCCTAAAAAAAAATAATTTCCATTTTGATAACTTCAGAGATTTATAGAAACTACGAATAATATAGAAATAATTTCTAATTACTAAACTTACGTTTAGTACACGGCACGATTGTTCAACTTGTTTATTATTTTTCAAGGGTAAAATATTCTTCTGATTCAGGCATTTTTCATTAAATCAAGATTTGTACTACGATGTAATTTTAAAATGTTTATTTATCTATGCCGATTTCCTTGTTGATATCGGTACGCATACAACGACAGATTTCTATTAACATACACGACGATTAATCACAATCGACCCATATTGAAATGATTTCATCGAGAGCGAGTGAATGACGTACAGGTCGGGCGTAACGCAATTTCCGTTGCATTTGTACGGATTTACACCATAGTCGCGCCTAAAGAAGTTTACTTCAAAATTATTAAATAAGTAATATATTTTTTCCATATTTATCTAAAAATTATAGAACGCTCTATATTAAGCCGGTGTGAGAAGGATTTTTCCACAGGTACGGCTTAAGCTAATTTATAATGATATAACTTAAACAAATTCTACCGTTTAATTATTCTTGAACGATATGTTGATATTATTTGTTTGACAATTCCAGATTTAAAAATTACTCCTTTACGCAATTCATTTTACTATAAAAAGTAATTATTTTAATATTATTATAATATTAATATTATTATACTAAATAAAAAGAGCCGTGTGAATCTAAGAAATGATTTCATAAAGGATCTGACAATTTTAAATTTCATGGAAAAGGATTAGCTTATTGAAAAAAAATTATTTCTTATTATCATTGGGCATATGGCATAAGGTATTATCAATTTTTTTATTATACATATCGGGTCGGGTCCTTGGAAAATCGTCTTAACGGGGTTTTACAGTATTTCTATAGCAATCATCTGTAGAAAGTAATTTTTTCTCCAGTAATATTTTCTACTTCCTCCGGAAATGATCTTGAATGTGTTAAAATTTGTAAATAACTCATGCGTGATTGCCATGGCCATTAAAAGGCACATAAATGGGCTGAGGTCGATGTTATGTTAACATATGACCATTTGTTTCAGACAAATATTTGTGGGGTGCTCCTATATGTTTATAAAGGGATGCTAAGCGACCGTTTAGTTGATATCATGGGTAAGGGGAGGATATAAATTTACCTATTGCAGGTTTATTTACAAATATAATAGATTCAAAGAAATATATTTATATATAATATATATATATATATATAAAATTTTTCTGTAATGGTGTATGAAAGGATAATCCTCCTAAACGATTATTCAGATTTGGATAAATATTTCTCAAGTTTGTTAAGGGATTTTTTGAATTATAGAAATATAGTTAGATTGTAGAAATAAATAGAAAAATTACAAAAAACCGCTTATCATTGGTTGACATTGAAAATATTTGAAACATTTGTTTGGCATTGAAAACAAATGAAAACTGTCATCTGCCAAAATTTCAATTTACTTATGAGCCTAGAACAATAAAAACTGTATAACAAATTCATGATTAGGAATTAGAAAAATGAAATGTCTACATTATTATTGCCAAAAAGCAGCTGAGATGTGCCAGAAATTAAATAATATAAGATTCAGTATATTTGGCTGATGAAGTCTGCGCAACTTAGCCTATATAATTCAATTTGCCAGATTATTGTTTTTAACTAATGCAGTCGTATTTTGTCTTACTTTACTAAACCACAAAGCAAAAAAATACTTATTCAAAAAATTATTTAGAAGTTTCATTGTGTCAAAAATTCATATGTTTGGCATTGGATACGGAATTTACTCAAATCAATGGAGTGTTTGGGTCTGAATTTTTTACTGTGCTCCAAATAGTATGAAATTTTGGAATTAAGTTCATCTTTTATTCTCAAGTTCAAAAGTAAAAATATTTTGATTTAATCTTTTAATACTAATTCATTTAATGTTTCATAATTTATAAAACAAATACCGTATTCAAATGTGAATGATTTCTCAAGTAAAAACCATATTGCAAAACTTTTTATTGTATAATGCGAAGAATGAATTTTTGTGCCTATCATTACAACAAAGCTCACACTTTATTAATTTGTTCAAAATTGTATTTGATGAAAGCTTTTAGAAAAATATCTTTTTACTAATGTAGTTTTTAGCCATGTAAAATATTTGCGCAATTGCAAATTAATTATAAATTATAAATCTGTCATAGAATTCAATATAATAACTGTTGTTAATTTTTTGTAAATGCAAGAAGTGATGTTCATTTCCAAATTGTGCATACATAATTACTATTTAGGCTAAAATAAGTTATTAAAAATAAGTTCAATGCAAATAAATAATGTCAACTGCCTTATTTTTAAAATGAGCGCTCAATTTTGTAATGTTGGTCATTATGAGTTTTCTCAAATTCTCTTGAAGTTCGCTCATTTTTAACCTAAACAAAAGTAACGTACATATATGTCATTCGTTGAATAAAAATAAATCTGAATAATGAATTAAAGAAGTATATTATAATCTAATTATTAAGTTGCTTTTGTTATTTAACAGCTTGAAGGTATATTGTGTAGGGCATATAACATTTTTATAAAAGTAATTACAATGCTTTATTATTAATTATATGTAAATTGTCTTATTAAATATTTATAGATGAGTTCTTGGATACCTCCTGAATTTGCATCAATGCCACCTCCAAAACGAAAGAAATTAAATAATACTCCAAGAGCAAATAAGTCCATCAGTAAAAAAAATACTACTATAACTACAGTAAAAGATTGTGAAAATTGGATAGAGAATTTTGATCCTGAAATAATATCAGAATTAGCAGTTCACTCAAGAAAAGTTCAGGATGTTAAAGATTGGATAACGAATGCAATAAATAGTCCCAAAGTAAGAATTAAATAAAAATTATTGGTGAAAATCATAGTCTTTGTTACATTAACAAAATTTGAAAGCTGCACAAAGTAGCTACTATATTCAGAGTATAGAATTTTAATAAATAGTATGAAGATTGTTTTATTACCCTTTATTTTAGAAATGTCGTATTCTCCTTCTAACCGGTCCCTCTGGAGCAGGGAAAACAGCTACTATTAAAGTAATATGCAAAGAATTGGGACTAACATTAAATGAATGGATTAGTCCAATGGATGTTGTACAATTTGAACAAGGTAAGGATTTCCAAATTTGTATTTTTAAAACAAGTTTAAAATATGCATACATATTTGTATATCCTATTATAATATGTACACAACTTAATCTGTTACTCTCTTTCAGATTCCTATAATTATGGTTTTAAAAGCAATGATAAGCAGTGTGATATATTCATAGATTTTATTTTAAAGGCTTCTAGATATAATTCTATTTTTGATGAAAATTGTAAAGGCAGATTAGTATTAGTTGAAGATTTTCCTAACTATCTTGTCAGGGATCCTGGTTCTATAGCGACAGTTCTTGGGTGAATATTCAATCAATAATATTAAATGTTTTAATAACTTCGAATTTGTAAAAATATTTCAGAAAATTTACAGAACGTGGGAAGTCACCTTTAGTTTTTATATGTACCGATACAGCAGGAAAATCAATAAATATTAGTAAAAATTTATTCACGGATTCAATTTGTCAACAATTTCAAATTGATCATATAAGGTAATTCTTTGCAAATTAAAAGTATTAAATGTTTAAATCTTAAATCTAAGTATATAATATAATAATAACATTTTTTCAACTCTAAAATTTTGTTATTACTTTTTGTAATATATAACTTACAAGAATGTTTTTTTATAATGAGATTGTTTACAATTATATTTAGTTTTAATCCTGTATCAAACACTGGTATAAAAAGTGCTTTAGTTCGTGCTTTGACCATAATGCCACTTCTCACAAAATGTAATATAAAATATGTCACACCAAATTCTGAAACTATGGAGGCCATTATTCAATCTGCAGCAGGTGATATTCGCAGTGCTCTAAATAATTTACTATTCTCATCAATGAAAGGTGGTTGTCTTTTTATTATGTTTTTATGATATAAAGCACTAAATAATAAAACATTTTTTTAGATTATGCAGGTAAAGTTGTAGAATTAGAACCAGTATTTGAACAGCTACCTTGGACTTTGCAAACACCCCGGGGGTCAAAAAAGTCAAGACCGGGAAAGCAAAAAAGTACAAAGCTCAAAAATTATGGCAGAGATGAAACTTTGACCTTATTACATGGTGTCGGTCGAGTCCTTAATCCAAAAAGTAATATATTCAACATTGCACATATAAATTTGTTTGTATTTTGATTGCTAATTTTTTTAAATTAGGGGTTATGTGTGATACTAGATATACATTCACTCATCCTATTGAAGAAACATCAAATAGTTTTATGTCTATGCATAAAGTTTTCCTAAATTTTCTTCATCGCAATTACCTCACCCATTTTCAATGCATTGAAGATATAACACCTGCTGCTGAATATTTAAGTCTAGCAGATGTTTTATGTGTTGATTATTTGGTAAGAAATAAAATCATTTTTACTAATATTACAAACATTAAAAATTAAATAAATTAGTTGTTTTAATATTTGCAGGAATCAGATACATCAGCATATGCTCTGTGGATGTCCATAGGTGCATTACAAGTTTTTAACTTGGAGCCTGTTAAAACTTGGGCACCTGTAAAAGCACCAGTCAAAGTAGAATTAAATTTTCCGTGAGTTATTGTAGAATATATTTCATTCTTCTTTCAATTTTTTTTTTCTCAAATAATGTTTAAGAAAACATCATTTCAATTCTTTTCATAGAGTTTATAACATTATATATTATAATATAACAAGTAATATAAAGTCTATGATTCTTTTACATCACAATAATATATGTTCACACATTATTTGATATTTAAGAAATAATTAATCTGACTCACTGAACGTTGAATAATTTTAGAAGCTGTGATGAATTAAATTTGGATATAAATCATGCAGCAAGAAAAAAAGTTTTAGCTATGGATTATAAGACTTACTGCAGGATAATAAAGTCAAAACATGAAGAGTCAGTAAATGAAATTTCTGAAGATGAAGATGTAATGATTGAAGAATTTTCTGATTCAGATCAAAATTGATATTAATGAAATTATCATTTATTTACCATAAAATTAGGTAAATTTCAGAGAAGAGCTAATTAAATTAAATTATTTTCATATTCATTTTTATAAGTGAGTTTAGGTATTTGTTATTTATTTATATTTTACCTAATATATGATGCATTATAAGATAATTTAAAAAATTAAAATGTAAATTTATAAATATATATTATTAATACAATGAAAGAAAAATTAAGAGAAAGTAGTTGCTTAAAAACATTATATTGTCTAGGTTAAAAGTCATCAATAAGAATATATTGTTTATTTACTTTAAAGTAATAACCTTCACTTTTTTGTATTTTATACATTTTTACGCCATTTTTTATAATTTAAATTTGGCGCCCTTAAGTTTGAAATCTTAGCGCGCAGTCGTCTCATACGTGAACTTCACATCATATGTTTTATGTCAAAAAAGTATTCCCTGGAATTTGTTATTGAACTTAAGTTTTGTGCTGCGATTGAATATTGACCATGGTTGTTTAATAAATGCCATACGATGTTTACAACATTTAATTTAAAATTTATTATGCATACTTGGTTTTAATTTTTATATCTGCTCAATATTTTTATAATTGATTTAAGCCGAATCCTTGGTCATAAAGATGAGTTCTAAAGAGAAAGACACATTGCACAAATTAAAACAGTTCTTTCGTATGAACAAGGGTGCAGCAAGTACGGAAATGCTTTTTTACGTGTTGCATAATTCGTAATTAATAAAATGTTTTTATATAATACATTTTTGTAGGTTTACGAAGTCGGTCTGATTTTAGTTTAACCTTAGAGTTGGAACATGATTTAAGCAGCGAAGCTTCTATTCAACAGCGAAGTCGAGCAATGAGAGATATTAGTGAAGAAATAAATAATAATCCAATTGACAGTGTAATAATCATATTTTATATTATCATAAGTCTGAACAAGTTATTTGCATATACATCGTGACAAAAACTTTAATTACGAAGCCTAAAGATATAATAATATTACATCAATATATTATCTAAAATTTAATTTTAGAAAGTATAGATTTTATTATATATAAATATAAATATAAAAAATATTTCAGACTACCATTGAAAAACTCTGGGTTTGCACAAGAGATTTATTAGACCCAAAACAACCTAAAGAAAATCGCCATTTGGTATTAAGTTTTTTGAAAACAATCATTCAGTCACAATATACCCAACTTGGAATTCTCCGGGGACACTTTTTTAGAGTAATCCAAAATCATAATATTGAAGAAGATGCTCAGCCCAGATTGGAATTGTTAGAAACGTTGACTTTTAATGGGAAAGACATAATACATTTTGAAGCTGAAATTGGAAGATTTTTATTAGAATGGTTACCAGGTTTATGTACAGCAGGACTAACAAAATCAGCTTTAATGATGTTTGTTAAATTGATTAAATTTAATGCTGCACATTTGGATCAGTATATTATAGCTGAAATTGTCAGGTGTGTTGAATGTATTTTCAATATATAATTATACTAGAGAAATTAAAATATATTATTGTGTTAGAAAAATATTCCTTGTAACACAAAATATTTTGCAATCCTCTATAGAACAGCAAACATATATATTATCTATCAATAATCTGCAAATTATTAATGTTTTCCATCAAAAGAATTTTTTGGGGTGACATTATATGGAATAAAGATGATTAAATATGAAAATCGGTAAACTATTCGACATGCTAATTTTTTCTAAATGCATAATTTTTTTTAACCATATGCATACAATATAATATAGCACTTGATTATTATAGAACGTTTTTTTTTTTTATAAATATCATAACATATAATGGTTTATTATAATTAATAAGTTTTTTGTATAATTTTACATAATTTTAAATATATGTGTTTTTTTTTTCAGGAATGCCTGTTATTTATGTTGTATCAGACAGTCAGTTTTAAGTGCCTTAGATGTTTTAGATACAGTGGTCTGTTATGCAATATTTCCTCAAGAAACTTTACGATATTTTATTTGCACATTATGCAGAACTGTGAATGATGAAGCGTATTGCAGTACAAGTTGGAAGGTATTAAATATTAACCATTTTTATATCTAAAGCTATATCTTTTGATCATGTTCAGATAACTTACTAGTAAATAGTAATATTAATTGTAATGATTACTATTAATAATAATTGATATATTTCGGCAGATTATGAAAAATTTATTAGGAAAGCAATTGGGACATAGTGCATTATACGCCTTATGTCGAATATTGCAAGATTCATCATCTCATGTTGATGGAGAACTATTACGAGGTGCTGTATTCTACATAAATATGGCTCTCTGGGGCAATTCTAAAGTACCATCTTTGAAATGCACACCTTGTTCAGTTTTGCCAAGTTTTATTCATGCCTTATCAAGCAATCATTGCGCAGTAACCTATGAAGTAACCCTCAGCATCCAAAGATTGATTAATAAGTTTGGAAAACATCTTAATGAACCAGCTTGGGATTTAGTTCTTGATATAATGGCAACAATTGCACACCAAATTTTAGGTAAATAGATTTTATTGTGTCTTGAGATTTATCCATCAGCATAATAATTATCAGTAATAGGTGATTTTAGTTTTGATTTCTTTTTTATTTTTCGATAGAGTCACAGCCACAATTTAGTTTCATTAAAACACCATTCCATGAAACAATTAATACAATTGAGAAATTGGTTATGAAAAAGGAATATGCAGGGTATCTACCAAAGCTTTATGAATTAATCGAAATTTGTGCCGCTGATAGAACAGAGGAATCAGTTTTGCAATTGATGGATTATCATTCAGAGAGTTTACATCCAACACATCCAAAATGGCAGCCCGCGCTGCTTAATCTCTTGGATAAGTTTTTTAGGCAAGAAACACGATCAGAGATACGTCTTCACTCTTTAAGAATATTAGGAAAAGTGATAAATGAAAATAAATCATCATGTGAAGATGAATTATTAGAAACTATAGTTGTGCCAATATTATCAAATCTGCAATTAGAACAGGATGCCAATATAAGGAGTCATGGTGCACAATTGCTTATAGATCTTTGTCTTTCCTGCGAAACAAAAAGTTGTCTAGAAATATTAGAAATTTTAGAAAAACTATTGAACAGGCCTTTTGAAATATTTTTAATAGACAACATACCTAGGCCAGATCATGAAATGCCAGATTTGTGCACTGTTACAGATGGTTTGATTAAAATTTTTGTAAAAAAAATATATGCATTGCCATCTTCACATGCCATAAAAGTGTTCAATATTTTTGTAAACCATATTGAAAGACATTATGAAAAACCAGTTGTTTTATCCATAACAAATTATACTAGATATAGGATTTTTAACTGTTTTTTGAAAATGCGTGCAAATACTTATTTTCATATTGGCTATTTGGACTCGCATATAAGTGGTGAAATCAAGTATAGCGTTTTTCTGAATATAAAGCAGAATGGCACATTATCAGAAAGTGTTGCCAGAAAAATAGGCTCACCAAGCACTTGTGCTTCATATAATTCTCATAATGTTACTAGCATATCAATAGAGCCTGCTTGCAAGCTAATAATTACATGTTTACGACAAGAAAAAGGTTAATTGATATACATATATAGTATTTGTTGTTTTTTTTTTATTCAAATATTAATTTGTTTCATATTCATAATTTTAGATTGGCAAATTCTGCAACTGATTCTGCAAGAGTTACCCCAGCTATTGCATAATAGAGCATTGATTTTATCTCGTTCGACTAACAATATAGACATGCTGGGTTCAACTTTATGCGCTATGGTAATTTGATAAGTGTTAAATTATTTATATAAAACTATATAAGAGTTAAATTTTCAAAAGTTGTTCAAAAGTTTTTGATTGGGAATGCTACTTACAACTAGTTGTATTATATTTTATCAGTATATTATTTTATCATTTCAGTTAACAGATGATTCTATGGGTTTACCACACACTTTGGTTAATGCGCCATCTAAGTTCTCACTATCAGATTTTCATGCTCATATTTTACCTTGTTTGTCTTCACTATCGCCTTACCATCAGTTTATTGAATTAGTGCTGCAGCAAAGATTAATTAGGTGTCTTGTCAAGTATGGCTTTGTAACGCGCTGTGCTAAACAATGCATCACTGCTCTCACTGTGGTTACTCTTGAGATGCAAGAAGCCATGGTCAAATTGTTGCCTGAAGTATTATTAGATCTTTCAAAAATGTCTGCAACAATACATATTGCTGTACCAATTTTAGAATTTTTATCAAGTGAGTGTAACTTTTATATATTAATCTTTATATAATACATTTCTAATTAAAATTGTTTCATAAATTTCAAGCTTTAACCAGACTTCCAAGAGTGTTCATCAACTTTGTTGGGGACCAGTACATGTCTATATTTGCTATATTATTACCCTACACAAATCCTTTTCGATATAATCATTACATAGTATCACTAGCTCATCATGTTATAGCTGCTTGGTTTTTAAAATGCAGGCTGCCTTTCAGGAGAGATTTTGTAAAATTTATCACCACGGTATGTGTGAAATATAACAATTGTGTTAACTTGGTAGTAAACAAAATATATTAATCAATTCATGACGTATAGGGCCTAAAATCAAATTGCATTGCACCATTTGAGGAAGGAAGGATATTAATTAAACCAGAGTTTACAACTTTGAATGAAGATTCATCTAACAGAAAAAGAAGTTCTAGTTTAACAGAACAAGTAAGTTATTTGTAGTTTTTCATAGGAAAAATGGGTGAAATGTAAATTGCAACCCAAGTTTTTATGTGCAGCAAAAATAATATTGCTTTGCAATATTTATCTAAGCTTTCTAGTTTTTGGCTTATTGATTTATTTTTTTATTTTTACTATTATTTCTAGGGTTCTAGAAGAAGAGACCGTCCTATGATATCTAGACCCATTGGAGATTTAAGACCAAGTACAAATGATGCACTGCTATCTTTTCATATAGAATTGACAGAAACTTGTGTAGATTTAATGGCTCGGCATACTTTTTCTCCCTGTTCTGCCCTGCCTAAGCGGTATTGATACCATTGATCTGTGTCAGTGACAGGTTATTATAATTCAATTTATTTCAATAATGTTTTTAGATTGCCTTCTGCTGATCTACTTTTATCACAAGGCCAGTCAACCACTTGGCTTTTGGGGCATAAACTTATAACTGTTACAACAAGTGGATGTTCTCAAAGCGCATTGAGAAATGGCTTATGTGATCGCTGCTGGACCGTTTGTAAAGGGAATGAGAATACTGACACAGAACGTTCACATTCTCCAGATCACTTAGAAACTTCAAAAAGGTTTTAATATATTTATAATATAATTGAATAGCAAAAAGATTTAATTTTTCCAGATAAATATGTTAAAATCTATAATTGCAAAATAAGTCCAAATTAATATTGTAAAATACTATTTGTTGCATATAAATTTTATTTTTTTAAGTAGTTTTGAATGTAATTGTTAAACTTACAATTTTCAGAAAAGAATTGTTTGAGGTGATAAAATCAAGTGATGGAAAAAATAATACCACTGAAGATACAATAAGAAAAGAAAATATTAGCGATAATCAGGTTTTTAAATAAATATTTAATAATTATTATTTACTCATTTTGTACTAAATAATAATTATGATTGTAGTTCACTCAATTAAGAGGGGATCAACATAGAACACTTGAAAAAGCTAAATCTATTTTGAGAGATGATTTTAAAACAGATAAAAGCTTTTGCGCATGTTGGTGCCAGGGTTGGGCAGAGGTATTGTTTGCTCTTATATTTTATATATACTGAAACTTTGAGAAATAATCTTAATTAAAATTTACTCAGGTGTATGTTAGAAGGCCAACAGGTGATACATCTTGGGTAATGAGAATTCAGAATCAAGTACAATATGATATGCCAAATAGCGAGTTTCCATTACATGATATAACAAGTGTTTTCTTCCCATCTCATCAATTGGGACAATATTCAAGTATGTTGGAAACTCCATCTACCAATACAAATAATGCTGAAATCATTGAAGAGCAAACTAAAAGTAATGAACCATCCAGTGTGATTATTCCATCCGAGCAGAAACAAATCTTTCCAAAACTACCTGTTTCATCAGGACCTATACAAATTCCTGGCTCTCCTCTTAGACAGTTATCAAATAGTTCTGAAGAACGTGATCAAGATATAGCATTTGATGAAGGGGATGATAGATCTAGAAATCCAGTAAGAAGAGTTAATTCCAGTCCTGAAATGAGTTCTTCTTATAAGAAACCATATCTTAATCGGGATAAGAGTGACAATAGTACATCTTCTCAGGATTCCAATTGTGATGATGATGTTATTATTAAAAAGAATAGTAAATGCTTTACAAAAGAAAGAGGATGTGAAGCTATACCTGAAGAAATGTCTGGTGGTACGCCGCCATCTCACCCTGCTTTAATGACATTGCATTCCGATCCAGGTAAAGCACGGTTTGAGTTTTATAATAATAGTATAGAAATATGTTTTCACACACAAAAGAGTTTATTTGTGTTATTGTATATAGCATGCTTCAGTATTTAGCATTAATGCAAATAAATTAATTGTATACTAACAAAAAATGCATTTTAGGATATAATGAAGAAAAATTGGAATCTACCAAGCACTCTACTAATATGAACTTAGCACCTACATCCATGTCTGCTTTATTGCCAGTTTCTGAATCAAGGCGTTCAATTGATTTGCAGAGACTGCATTCATTAGATTCTGGGCATCACGTAACTTCTAAATTATCATCTCTTCACTTGTCTACTGGAAGTAGTGCACAACTTGTAAAGAAGCCTCCTCATAGCCCTGTGACTCCACTGTCACCAAAGATGATCAGTCGTGATAGCAATGATAGTATTAAGAGTCATAAATTTTCTTTAGTTACAAGTTTGGATAATAATGAATCTGATATTCCAAGAGAAAGATCAAAGACCATCTCAGTTATGAGCCCAGTGAGGAATAATAGAGAAAGCACTAAATGGACAAGTGGAGCTCTAAGAATGAAAGAAACAAATCCTAGGTCAGGAATCAATCCTAGTTTTGTATTTCTTCAATTATATCACACGGCACAATTGGGCCAAATTAGTGAGAAACCTATTCTTGTGACATCACAGTACCAAAAAGCTATTGGTTTAATAGATTTTATTCCTCCATTTCAAATACATAAAATTGGAGTTTTATATGTTGGCCCAGGGCAATGTAATAATCAAACAGGTATTTCAAATATTTCTTTTGTACAAAATGCTATACATATTTTACTATCTTTATTAAATACATTTTATTATTATTATTACAGAAATATTGAAGAATCGATATGGTTCTGTTAGGTATGCCTCATTTTTGCAATCACTCGGGACATTAATTTCTTTAAAAGAAGCTTCTAAATATTCTTTATTTACTGATTTGGAGAAAAATGGACAAGATGGTAAATATGCTTACGTGTGGCAGGATGATATAATGCAGGTATGCCTATGTTATTATTGACTGTATAATGCCCAATGTTTATATACTCTCATTTTTACTTGCAGGTCTATTTTCATGTTGCTACTTTGATGCCAAATAAAGAAACTGATCCACTCTGCAATGAAAAGAAGAAACACATAGGCAATGACTTTGTTTCTATCATTTACAATGAAAGTGGTGAAGATTATAATATGCAAACAATTAAGGTGAAATAATTATTAAATTTATTATTTATAGAAAAATTAACATACAATAAGGATTAATTAAATTAATTATTTGCTAACTAATTTTCTGTACTGTTTGATACGGTTAATTAAGTAAGCATTAATCTCATAAATGATTATTTTAAAACATGAATGTGCAAATATTTTATTGTTTTGTGCAATTTGACAAAATTTAATCTATTTCAAAATATCCATCAGGGTCAATTCAATTATGCTTGTGTGGTTGTGCAACCTTTAGAAATGGGAACCAATTGTATAACGGTACGTGCAAGAGATGAAGTGATTGATCATTTGGGACATACTGAACCAAAAATTGTTTCTGATAATAATGCTGCAATATTAGCAAGACAACTTGCTCTACATGCAAATGTAAGTAGAATTTTGTCTTTGTTGCTATATCGATTTATTCAAAATTTAAAATAAATGTAATATTATTTAGTTGGCTTCGTTGATTGTTAAATCTTTAACAACAAATTCGAATGGACCTTATGCATCAAACTGGCTTGAGAGATTAAGAAAAATCAAAAATTTAAGAGATAAGGTAAGCAAAGATGTTTATGAACATTATATATATTAGAATAAAAACCTTATTCTTTAAATTTAGTTGCTCCAAAACATGGATTCTTTAGGCAGCCACAGTAGCATAAATACATCCAACACCGGCAGCTCAAATTCATCTCAATCAATACCTGATTTTACAGATTACACATAATTTAATCAAATTTATATATATATATATATATATATATATATATACATATACACATTATATTAAGCATTTGGTATTATATTATTTATAATTTTCCTGCAACTATTCACATATCAAAAATGTTTTCTGTTCTAAAAGTAGTCTATATTGATCTTGGACACACAGGCAATTTTTAATGAAATTTTGAAAGACTGTTTTATTTTTGTATCTATTTTTATAAACATGCCTTCAAATGTATTTTTGATCATATAGGTATATGAAATTGTTTTAGTCTCATTTTTATAAAAAATATTTTGTGTTTGATATTATCTCTGTTTATTGATGTTTTATTACTTATTATGTTTTTAATATGAATTTTAAGACTGTGTTAAATATAACTATATATTTATTGAATTTAAATATAATATTATAAATATCTAAAAATAGAGTTTTTAGTTTGTAATAATTTATATTATTGAGAGAAAAAATATTCTCAGAGAAAACATCATTGGAGTTGATTCAAAATATTAATCACAGTTTTAGATTTGCATACTCTTTCTTGTTTTTATTTATTTGTAAAAATATATTTATGCAGTTAAATATTTTTATAATCGGTTGTGAAAATTTAAACCTCAGAATATTTTAAAAAGTTGCAATTTTTAATGCTCTAATGTTGCATGCATGTTTATGCAATTGTCATTAGTTGTCATTTTGAAATACCGCAAACAGCGTCAAAATATAATAAAAATATGCAAACAAATTTATACAATTTATCGTACTTTGTGTAAAATAATTGTTAAAATTATTAAACTCATCTCGATGATGTCAATATACTATTTTAAATTATTTATTTTGTTTAGTGTTAATGTTATCTTTTTTATAACCTACAATTAACTTTCTGGTTATTGAGTTTTAATGTTTATAAGTGCTGCATAATTTGTCATATTGATGATATTTTATTTCCAAAATCATACTTAGGAAATTATAACTACTTATTGAATTTTTATAGAATGAGCAACCACAGACACATCAAAAAAGCGTCATTATGCTTAAAAATCAAATTTGTGTCTCAATAAATATAATAAATACTTTATGGCATGCATAAAAATCGACTGAACTAGAATTAGTAATTGAAATTGAATCATTATGTTTCTAAAAGACAGATTACAAAAAATAAACAAGTTTTTTAAATATTAATATTAATGTGCATTTTTGTGCAAAATCAATCAAGATGTTGGCTCGAATCCATGCACTAAACACTATTGATTCTTCAGATGATAGTGATTCTGGGGATTCTGAAAATGAACTTACACTCACCAAGGAAGCTTTGGTAAATATAAATTGTTTTTATTAGCTCGTTTTCTAATTATTTAACATAGTAATCAATATTAAATTATATATTTATATTTCAATTATCATTACCATTATTAATTATATAACTATATCTTGATTTTACAGGAAGAATTAGCTTTAAAGGAATACAATAGGGCCTTGAATTTATTATCAGCAGGCAAGATTGATGTGTCTGTTAGGCTTATGAAGGAATTGTTGGATTGTGATATTATAGTAAAGGTATAGGAAAAAGATATTTTATAAAAAAATATTTCATAAACACTAAGTGATGAAATTCTGTGCAGACTGTTAAACCTATTGTTCCTGATACTGTGGATCGGCCAATTTTGAGGGTAAAATATTGTCTTCATAGAAATTTAGCTGCTTCCGCTGATAAACAAGAGGATTACCAAAATGCTTTACATCATTACTGCATGGTAAGATTACTGAAAAGATAATATTCCTATAATAAAATTTATGTTAAATATTAGATAATATCAATTTAAGATTTTTTTCTACAAATTACATTTACTATAACAAATTGAATTCGAAAATTATGTTTCATCATTATTATAAGTTGTAATGTAATTTATATAAATGTAATATACTTTTTTTAAATTTTAGGCATGCGATTTGGATGGAACTGATTGTTATGTGTGGTATAAGTTGGGGCAAGTTGCCATGAAAGCTAAAAGATTTGATATTGCATTACATGCATTTGATCAGGTAATTATCAACAACATTATTATAGTTTCATTTTACTGCTTCTTGTGATATTTTTTATGTGCTTATTAACTCTCAGGGTTTGGAATGCAATTCAAATCACTGGCCTTCAATGGATTGCTTAATAAGACTTTTATATGCTATGGGTCATCCTGAGAATTGCTTGCATTACATAAAAATTGCTTTAGAAAAAGAGCCACAGTATAGAAGAGGACATTTTCTCAAAAATCTAATATTTTCAGAACGCCCATTTTTAAAGAAATATTATGATAAACTTGAATTTCCTGAAACGTAAGACATAATTAATTGAACTAAATTTATTGAATTTAAATATTTAAAAAAACATATAATATGCATATGTGTTTGTATTTGTCTTTGTATATATGTAATGATTATTTATACAATTAGAAAATTTGGTGAAGAGAATGATGCAGAGTTTATGTCAGATGTCATAAAATTGCGAGAACAGTGCTGTGATGAAACACTTGGTGAATCCTGCGATGATAAATTAGGAATATTTGATGTTCCAGAGAATTTTTATTGTGATGAAAATAGTTTAACATGGATTGCTATGGGAAATTTGCTGCTAAAGATATTTACATACTTAAAAGAAAATGACCTGGTTTGAACATTACTTTCCTTTATATAATTTTGAGTTTTTTTCTTTATATATATTTTCATTTCAGCTATTAAATCAAGTAAACTTTTCAGTTTTATCAGAAAAGCTAAATTTAATAAAAACTGAAATACTGAATGACAATAACGATAGTATGAGCCATATAAATTATGCATTAGAAAGTATTGTACAGCAAAATATTGAAGCATTGAAGCAGCAATGTAAGAATTAACATTTTTGAAATACTTATTTATTTTTATTAGAAAATAATGTATTTTGGCTGGTTCATACTAGGTGAAGAAGGAGTTTTATTAGAAACTAATGATGAGCTATTAGCTGATACAAACATATATGAAATACTTAGTGATGACAATGTTAATTCATTATCCGAAAACCCAGAAGTAATAGAAATTTCTGACACAAATGATAAGGATTCAAAAGATTGCCAAAAGGAGAGTGAAGCTTCTGATAATAATAATGATCCCAAAGATGACATTAAAGATACTCAAAGCAACAAATCTGATCAGCCGCAACAAAGTGGTACAAAAGGCCCGAAAAAAAGAAGAGGTAGTGAACTAGCAAATTTAGATCATTGGGGAAAATCAAAACAAAGAAGAAGTTCTCGCAAAAAAAATATTGAAAATGTATCGAGGCAATGTGATGATGATGAAACTGTTGAAGAGGCTTTAAAGCGTATTGTACCACAAAGTTTACTGTAAGTTTAGAAATAAAGCGTATATTTTCATTTATTATATATATATTAATATATATGCATATAATACTTATCTTATCATGTATTTTATAGTTGTATGTGTCTTATACTTGCAATAAACTTGTTTTAGTCCTGAAGGCTTGAAAATATGGAAATCCAGACGTTTGGAAAGTGATGCACATTCAGAAGATAGCATGAATACTATGGATCTTTATGAATTATTTGAAAATGAACAAGTTGAAAATTCACAAAAGGGGAAAACTGAGGAAGTGAGAGTCAAAACTCCAAATGCAGAAGATTTGAAGAATTTTATTGAGATGGAAAATAGAGATATTAAAATTTTTATTAAATATTGCATATCAGAAAATAGAAATATTTGTGAACTGATGAGATCCTGGCTAAAGAATTTGTCGAATATTAGATTTATGACTTGGCCAAAATCTTTAAATGAAATTTTTGTTAATGTATATTTGAAGCATCGGTTAGTTAATTTTTATTTATTGCACTAATTTTTTGTTACCAGTATTGAAATATTTTGAATTGAATGTTACAGTGAAATACTTGCTGAGCATCCATGGATCTTCACAGATGATTCAAGCTTGTTAGCAGAAGATGCAATTATCACATTGACTTTTATCGAATTTTATTTTGATTCTCGACATTATCAAGAAAAAAATTTTGAAGGGTAATTTTAACATATTTTTGCAGTTGAATATTGCAATAAATTTTTATAAATATTTAAAATAATATTTATGTAATTTTTAGGATTGATAAGAGTGCTTTGGAAATAAATAACAAATTATTTTTAGAAGATATAAACTTTTTAGATTTGCTAGGGGGACGAGATGATATTTTTAATGATGGTCCTTTTAACTTTTTAATTCGTTTCCTTTGGATTAAATCACAATATCTTCATTCGCAGAAACAAGCTGATAGAGCAATTGAATGTTTACAATATGTATGTTATCAATATTCCAACATATTATTTATTTTAATACTTATATGATTTTAATTAATTTATATTTTATATGAGCAAATAATAATAGGACTGAGTTGACAGATAATTCTTTAATATTCCATTAGGTAATCAAAAGTATTGAGACGGAAGAAAATGAAAAGTTCATGATCAACTTGCCAAACTGTAGAATGAATCATACAATTAGTTTGGATGCAGCAAAGATATTGCTGAAAAAATGGGAGAGGTCTATAATTTCTATAAATACATAATTTTTTAAATCTTTTACATAATTCTTTATTGCACTTATCCTTAAACGGAACATTATGTTATGATCTTCAATATTACGTCTTATTCCAGAATGGAGAGTCTATTAAGTCTTAAAGAGCTGTATGAAAAGAAAAGCTATGAAAAAATTGCTGATGTTTTAATGGATTATTTAGTTACTGATGATAGTTTAATTATATATGATGATAATGATAATGAAGAAGATAAAGATGCAATACCTCGACCAATTTTGTTGCATATCCTCGTGGAATCACTTTGGGTGATGGAGAAATTTGATGTAATATATTGTTTTGCCTTATAAATTAAGATGTGCAAAATATGTACAAAGGCTTTGTTTCAGATTTTGCTGAAGTGCTCTGTTTTGTGCTTATATGAATGCTGCCAGCGATATTTTACTGGAAATGTTGCTATGATTTCAAATACCTGGGCGAAAACCATTCAAAGCTTGCTCCTTTATATAGAAGCTATTTTAAAAGTGGAGGAACCATATTCTGGTAACATAGCATTTTATTTGATTATATTATATATATATATATATATATATATATATATAATACATTTCGCAACTTTTCCAGCTTTGATGAGCATCTCAGATAATATCTTATGCAAATTAGTGAAATGTCTATGCAATATTATTGTGCATCAGTTGAGCGATAGATCTATGAAAATATACCATCATTTCTCTCAAATTAATTTAATTATGCCATGGATATTACTCTACTACATCACTGGCTTGTAAGTAAAAAAAATATTGTAAATTTACTATTAATTATCATTTTCTTAAGATAAAGAAAGAATATGTTTATTCATTTTATAATATTAATGCCTAAAGTTTCAAAAATATTAATATTAACTCATGATTTATGTTAATAATTCTTTAATCAATTTTGGCAATTAACAGTGTACTATTATAAAATGAAAGTACATTAGCTATTTTAAAATTCTAATGCATGAAAAATTATTAGATGCCTATATTTCTATACATAGGTGGCTAGAATTTTACTTAATTAGTTTATATTTAAGTTAGACTAAGAAATGTTTGCTTGGTACTAAAGTTTAAAATTCTGTTTTCATTCAAAATGCACAATTTCGGAAATAATCATATTTTTGTTTATATATTTGATGATATGGTTAATGGTATTGATCATATGCTTAATTTTTAATATATAGCCATGAAGCTCGTGGGCGTGATGAGAATATGAAAATGCGGAAATTTTGTCCTGGTTATTCTAAATGGATTGTAAAACAACGTCTTTCTCAACCCAAAATGGATGAATTTAAGACATTGCATGAAATTGAGGAAGGTGTTGACGATGATGACAGCTTTTCATTATCTACTTCCATTCAGTTACTATTTACTGGTAAGTCTGAATTTCAAAGAAACGTATTCAAAAATAGACAATAATAATATTAAATACATAAACTGTTACATGAAACCAGTTTGCATAATTTATTTAGATAAATTATTAATAACAATTATTAAAAACAAGAGTCCGCTTAAGATTTACACATGATTGAAATAAAACTTATTTGCTACTGTACAAGATGGCATTTAAGTAAAAATAAATACATCATATAACAATTTTGAATAATGTTTATTAGTAATATGGTGACATTCGTGATGCACGCATTTATTAGTGTCAATGTCAACCATTATATACATATATATAATGATAAATTATAAAAAATTATATATATATTTATATATATATATATATATATATATATAATAGCATTAAAAATATGTATAATACTTAAAAACAATAATGTAATTAAAGTTATACATCAAATATGACATGATCGGTTTGTCATTGTAATTAGCATTTAGAAATGAGCCTTCATTAAAGAAATGAAGTAATTGCTGAATAATAAATTCTATAATATTTGTTAAGACAGTGGATTATGTTAAACAACGCTTAAACAAATATTATTTTCTCAACTTCACTCATCATGTAATTGTGTTTGAAGAACTTCATATAATTAAAATTAACATACATTCATTGACTGCTTGTATTTTTTTTACTTTTTCGCTGGCGATATAATCTCATTCTTTGAACAGCTGTGATATCTGTATTGCCTAAAAAATATTTTTGATTTTAATAACTTCAAAGATTTATAGAAACTATGAATAATATAGAAATAATTTCTAATCAATAAACTTACGTTTAGTACACGGCCAACTGTTTAATTTGTTTTATTATTTTCAAGGAACAAGGTAAAATATTCTTCTGATTCAGGCATTTCTCATTAAATCAATTTTGTACTATGATGTAACTTTACAATGTTTATTTATCTATCCCGACTTCCTTGTTGATATCGGTACGCATACAACGTTGATGCCGGCACGCATACAACGACAGATCTCTATTCACATACGCGACGCCTAATCACAATCGACCCGTATAGAAATGATCTTATCGAGAGCGAATGACCAACAGTTCGGGCTAAACGGACTTCCGTTGCATTTGTACGGATTTACATCCTAGGCGCGCCTAAACAAGTTTTACTTCAAAAACTGATATTCTTTTTTGTGAATATGTATTTTGGTTTCAGCTCACGATTACTTGGGAAAACGCAAACTCTGCACTGCCAGCAGTGGATTATTACTCTCTTTTACATTGAACGAGTTGGCCTTGCGTGTTAAGTTCAATAGTCCGCGTAGAATTTTACAGGAAAATTTAGAGCAGTGCTGTTACTGTCTTTATGCACATCCTCCTAAAAAATCGAAACCAAGGTTGTTATATTAATCATTATAAATTAATAATAAAATTTATTTGTGATACTATAAAGTATAATGTGGTTCGATTTTTAGACACATAACGGAACATGATGTTGCACCTGTTGAAATGAAATGGGAGGATGCTCATAAAATTTATGAAATATATCGTCCAGATAAATTGCCTGAGTTTGATAGCAGGTTTGTTTACTTTATGATTATTAAGCAGGTTAAAACTTTATGGTTATTATACTTATGCTAATTTATAAAAATTAATTTTTAACAGGGTAGCTGCTATAGTTGCAGACACTGAAATTTTATTCCAACGCCTGATACAACTTATGCCGATGCTAGGTGATATACAAGATAAGGTTACCGCAATGAACAAATTTATATTTGGATCTGAGAAACATATGCCCGAAAATTTTATGGGAATGCATCATCATGTAAGTTCTGATACGAATGCAATAATAAATTGATAGAATTGATTAAAGAAACATTTAAATATTTTGTTACGTACTTTGAATATTATAAAGAAAATTTACTATCTATTAATTAACTTCCCGTAGGGTAAGTTATTGTAATGGGCCGAAAATCGGAATTGAAAATTTTTACATTTCTCGACCTTTTTAAGGTTTCTGAACATTTTGGCATACCTCAGAAAAAATGGATGTGTGTGTGTGTGTGTATGTATGTATGGATACAAATTTCCAGTCACGTTTTCGGGCGCACGGATCAACCGATTTGAATGGTTCAAAAAACATTCGATTCCTATCGATAGGGAAAAGAGCTGATTAGTTTTTGGCAAAGGCACGTCCAGCCGTTTCGAGGATACGCAGCAAAGAGTGCAGAAAATAGAAATCGACTTTTTGAGAGAACGGAGTATCCGATTTGAATGATCTAAAAAACATTCAATTAGTAATGATTGCGAGAAGTGTTTATTAGTTTTTGGCGAAGGCAGGCCTAGCCATTTCGATGATGCGGAGCTAAATATGTAAAAAATGGCAGTTTTTGAGAGAACTAAGCGTCCGATTTGAATGATTCAAAGAACTTTCTGCTAGTCTTAACAGAATAATTGATTTTGAAAAAAAAAATTTGTTTCAATTTTTTTTTTATTATTTTTTATTTTTTTTATTTTTTGTATATCGAAAATAATTTAGATTTTATTTTTAATTCTGACTTTAGTTCTAATATACTTTAAACAAATAATTTCAACTTTACAATTCAGTTTATATAATTCTTATAAATATTAGACAATGTTACAATATTTATAATAATCTATTTGAAAACATTCAGTATTCCTCGAACATTTCGTTACGGTACGGGAAGTTCCAGAAATTTGCTTTAAGACACGATGCCACCCACCCCACTAGTTTGTTATTTTTTCCGCATGTTTTCCTTTTTGCATTTTATTAAGAGCTTTATGTTTCTAAATTATGCTATTTCATATCTAAAATAAGCTTATTTTCAGATGGTGAACATATTTTATTTGTTGGGCGATTTCTACATGAAAAATCGCGATCTACCAAAAGCCATTAAGCATTATACAATGGACGTTTGTGTTGTTCCTTCCAGACTGGATTCCTGGGCAGGCATGGCGCTGGCGCTTGCATCCCAGATTGAAACAAAGTTATACTCTTGCGAGAAAATTAGGTAAAGTTGAAATAAAATAGACATTTTTAGCATCTGGATGTAAACTATAAAGAATGTTATTTATTGATTATTCTATTTGCAGGAGTGAAAATAAATTTTTGGATAATGCATTTGCAACTGCAAAATGTTTTGAACAGACACTGGAGTTAAATCCGAAGCATTGTGTTTTACTCATAGAATTTGGATCATTTGCATACTTAATTCATTCTTACTGGTCAAGACTTCTTAAGCAGGCTAGTGAGACTCTCAGCATGGAGAGGTTAGTAATTATTATTTAAGAAAAAGGCCTTCTGGATGAGTACATTTTGAAAAAAATTATACAATTCTGTAAAAATATTATTAAAAGAGTATTCTGCTTTTATGAATTATCATTATTGTAAATTTTATTTGAAAATTAATAATATAATCTTTTAAGAAATCGACATATTCTCATTTTTAAAAGGTCTTTTGTATCAAATTGTATTATCGTTATGGAGCTTAATAAATTTTAAATTCATAATTATGTGTATAAGGTTGTGGAAAATATCTTGTCTAAATAGCAAAATGTTTACAGATTTAGCATGTTGGAAAGTCGCAAAGAAAGCATGCTTGAACGAGCATACATCTGCTTCACTGAAGTAAGAAAAGTTTGGTGTGAAACAAGTACTGATGCAGATGAACGATGGTTGCATCATTATATGCTTGGAAAAATTGCAGAAAAACTTAAAAAAGATCCTGTTGAATATCTGAATCATTATTGGGAGGTGACTATTTTTGTTGCAAACTTTATCTGTTTTTTTACTGTTTTTAATTTATTAAAATGGTATTCTTATATAAAATATATTTTGAAATTAAAAAAATTATATGTTTAATATATAATTTTTTTTATTTCATAGAAATTGTTGAATTATTTCAATGTGTAAAGATTTTAGTTTAATCCTTTTTTTTCACATTTAAAAATGTATGATATTTAGAAACAACTGAAATATGTACATATTCATAGTTTTTCTATGCATATTTTAGGCTAGTCGATTACTTGAAGAAAATAATGCTATGTATCCTCGAAAAATTAATTACTCTTCACCACAACATTTGGCAGTAGAAGCTCTAGAAGTATTTTATAGATTACATGCAAGCATTTTGAAATATTTAGAGCATCACAACAATACTAGTAAGTGTAATTATTATTAAATCAGATGAGAATTTGAACAATATATTATGCGTTTTTTTCTTTAGATATTTCACGAGATTTGGGAGATTTGTTTTTGAAGCATTTAATTGCAGCATCAAAAGGCCCATTTGGTAATCCAGAGCTTGTTAATGCAGTTACTATGGACGAATCTGATGATCAAAAAGGTAAATTAAATCCTATAAATCATACTATTTATTTCTCATTATACTTTCTATTTTTTAATTATTTGAAACAGCATTTTAGTTCATCATTATATTTTTGAAATTATTAACGTATGTATTTTAATTTATAGAATCCATAATAGCTTATAATTTGAGATAAGCAGGTCACATAATACAGTTTTAATAATTTTATATTTTTGTAACCTAAAGATTTTATAAATGAACCTTAATGCTGTAATTATTTTATCTTTTTTTTTTTTTTGTTATAATTTATTTTTGATAATCAAGACTATTTTTGCCATAATGATGATAAAAAAAATATATGTATAAAATGACTAGTTATATTTTAGTAAATATTACGTTACTATTGATGTTCTATATAATTTAATTTTTATTTTATAATAGAAAATGTAAACAAACGTAAACTTGAAACTGTTGCCGAAGAAAATGAAAATGAGATGAACCCAGTCAAAATTCAAAAAATTAATGATGATGTTTCAATAAGCAAATCACCGAAGGTAAATTCCATGTAAAGCAATATGATTCATCAGAACATATGTGTAATTAAATTCCATATAAAAAAATGTATTTTATTCACGAAATCTGTAATTTTAAGCCCTCTAGCGATTTGTGTGAACCGGGTACTCCGAAAATATCTTCTGCAAATCCGGAGGGTAATATTGTTACTTCAACTCCTATTGTTGATAAACCAGCTGAGCTGGACGATAGCGTCATAGTTATATCAGATTCCGATGATGAAACATCAAAACCCTCTGAACAGAATACTAAAGAAGAACAAGTTGAGGCAAATAAGCAGACTATTGGTAAAAATCATACATGAAAATTAATATATAACAAAATTTTAAAATATATTGTATTTAATGTGCTTATTTTTTATCTATATTAAATATAAATGCAATTCTGTCAGAGCCAGATAAACAACCAGCCATAACCGAGAATGTAGAAAAAGATAAACCTGCTGAAGTTGTTGATCCGCAAGAAACACTCAATCATCTTATGAAGGAATGCCTTGAAAAAATGGAGTTTTCTGAAGAAACTGATACTGCATCTGAGGTATTTATGTTAATGAAATATTTTTATCAGATTAGTCTAAGTTTTAATAACAAACAAAAAATAAACTAAACAATGTTTAATAACTTCTTCTAAACTTTTATAATGTTTTACAAAAATCGAAAAATGTAAGAATAAAATAAAATATAAAAATAAATAATAAAGTATGTACATATTTACATGATCTCTAGATTGTATGTTTTCAATTTAAGTGTATTATATTTATTTTTAGGCAAGGCGCATGTCTCAATCCAGCAGCAATACAAAAGCTGTAACTGATACATCATCATCTTCCAGCGATGATAGTTCAAGTGATAATTCAAATGATTCAAATAATAGTTCATCAAGTGATAATTCAAGTTCTTCTAGTGATAGTTCAAGCTCTAGTGATAGCGAGGATGAAACAAGCAAGGCTAGTAGTAAGGTAAAGCATTTTATTTCTGATAGTTATTCAGTTTTTTTAATGTGCATACTATAATCTTAATTGTTCTTGATATTAGGCTAGTAAAACTAGTAGGTCGTCTAAAAAGTCTACATCAAACTCATCCAAAGCAAAGAAAAAATCCGAGTTTTTGACTAAAGCTGAAATTGATAAACTTATCACATTGTGTATTGTGAGTTTAGAAGAATGTATCCACAGGTAAGATAATACCTCAAAATCTTACTTATTCTCATCTTTTGAATTCTTTATTTTTAACTGTGTAACTAGGTGTAAGTGGTTAATAGATTTAATACTCAACTCATTATGAAAGTAGCTTTTTACTTGAAGGAAAGTGGCATAAACTTTCGAAGTATGTAAATAATATTTTATAATAATATGTCTTCATAAGCATTCCAATATTTTGAACTTGAATGAATTTTCATAATTAAACCACTTTTTGTAGGCTTTTTTACACTGTTAATCACACTATAATTAATAGAAAAAAAAAAGTTCAATAACTGTATTTTAAAGATTGGTTTAGCTACAGAACTTAAGATTTTTTTTCAATCTACAAAAGCTTGAAAAAATGTTACATTTTCAACTTTTAACAAATAAAGTTTACCTTTACAGATGTCCACAACATTACAAGGCTTTCTATCGTTTGGGCTATCATTTCTTAAAGCACGGTGTTACTAAAAAGCAATTAATGCGTTATGCTTCGCCGAACGCCCCTCCAATGACTGGTTCAACATTATGTAAACAACTACTTATGACTACTTATAACCAGGGAACAGAAGCTGCCATTCAAGGTTTATTTTCTGATAGAAAGCCTAACAATTTCTTCAATGTAAGAAAATATGAGAATGAATTAATAGGTTCAATTTAATAAAAGATGATGATGCAAAGTATGTATTTGTGTCGATTTTTTTAGGGTATATGGCGTTTACCAGCAAGCGACATCGACCGTGCAGGCAGCTTTGCCTCTCATATGTCACGATGTGTTACACTTCTTATGGATGTTTTGATGGAAACTGGTGATCATAGAACGCTTTTGGAACTTTGTCTGCAGCTTCAGAAAACTCCAGATGCAGATAAGTATGTACACTTAGTAATTTTATTATTGATTCAGAAAAATATATATAAAACATTGCAACTCATCATCTATTTAATTCATATGATGGTAAATATAGATATCATGATTAGTCTTGAAAGTATAATTAAACCTAATGGTTTGTTTCAGTATATTGCATTTGTAGTTATATCTTTAAGCAAATAGTTTTAAAAATGTTTTTTGAACTTTTTTTCTTGTTCATTTTAATTATGTCACAAATACTAATTTTTTTTGTATACCATTAAGGAAATATCTTCGAGATCCAGAGCGTGAAGAGTTATCCCAGCAAGCATTGACACTATGTGTGCAGACATTGAGAAACCGATTGAAGAAACTTTCTGAGACGAAAGCCAAAGCCGATATAATTACTTTCATGTTGGATGTTTTCAGAACACATAAGAAAGCTAAGAAACATCTGCAGCAAAAAGAGAAATCTTTCTCATTGTTGCTTACAGATGCATATAAACTTTATACAGATGGCAAGGTAATGAAATTTATATTATTTATATATTATTTTATTTTACTCTATATTTATTTTATTTATACTAATAACTACTTATTTCAATATCTTCAATAATCTTTATTACACACACACACACACACACACACACATATATATATATATATATATATATATATTTTCTATAAAAGATATTTAGACACTTGATTAACAAATTTTACTATATATTTTTATATATATATATACACATATATATATATATAAATATATATATATATATATATGTATATAGTACAATTTGTTAATCAACTGTCTAATTATATAATCTTATTATTTAACTTTTAGTTTATTATTTTATTTAATTCATTGGTTTGTTTTTTCATTAAACAATGTCTTTAAATTTCTGAGTGTGTTGGTTTGAATCTTTTTCATTGTGAATGATGGCAAAACATACATAATAAATAGTTAATTATTTATAGCTATTTATTTCGATTATTTGCCTGCAAGCAAATATTTCAAAATATGTTTCATCATAAAAAAAATCTAAAATCTCTTATGTATATACATATCATGAAAACAGACATATTTATTGTATTATATTTTTCAACTATTATCTAATTATAATTTCAGGAAGTTGATAGTTCTCATTTATTTGATGCTGCAGTAAGATTTTGTCAACAACAACTTGCAACAAGAAGGCAGAACAATCAAATCTCACCTGTGCCTGTATCTCAAGTAAGAATTATTATTATTATTATTTATAACATATATAATTTCCTAATTACATTTATATAAATTCATACAATTTAAGATGGTTCAAAGTGCTGCACCATCAGTTCAAATGCAGCAGTCGGTGGTAAGCAATCCCGCTCCTTCTATTCCAATCCAACAATCTTTGTTCAATCCTATGGTGCAAAGTTTTTCATCACCAGTCAGTTCTTTTGCACATGTTCCTAAACCAAGAGGACGACCTCCAAATAATCCGATAGCTACATACAGCATGCCTAGTGAACAAGCACAATTATCTAACATGTTATTAAATCAATATATGTCTATGCTAAATGATTTTTCGAAACTTCCACAAGCTGCGGCGGCCCAAGTACTAGGGAAATTTCCTAATCCTTTCACTGGACTCAATGTGCTTCCTGGTCAGCCAAGCACAAGTAGTTCCATTAGATCTGCACAAAAAAAGATGAATTCCCCTACTACAAGTGTAAATAATAGTGCAGCTTCCCTTGGAATTAGCCCTCTGATGAATCCTATTTCATCAACAAATTTAAATATGTTATCTTCTCCTACTAAAAGCAATACTAATAATTCATCTCCAACATTAAACGTTGTGCCAAAAAAGATAAATATGGGCATATCATCACCCAGTTCTTCTACTACTGCATTTTCTGCAACATCTAAACATGCAAACCAAGTTCCTCCTGGAGTTTCCAATGTGACTCCCACAAAAAATCCATACAATGTTGGATCTTACATGAGTCCTGGTACAGGATTTACAAATATGAACAATGATCTCAATAACATGTTCAAGAACTTTTTTCAAAGTAATGCTCCTAAAAAGCATACTTCAGATTTATCAAAATTACGTGATAAGTATAAGGTGCAGTCGAATAACATAATGGGTTCTAAAAATCCTATGACATTCACTCAAGAAATGACTTATAAGCCGTCTAAAAAGGGACGCCCACCAAAAATGAGCATGGATTTCAGTAATAAATCTGCCAGTGCTGCACCCAAACCTATTAATATTAAAAATCAGAAGGACTGCCTACCAAACACATCAGCATTAACATGTACAGTAGTCTCTTCAAAAGCTAAAGACTCACTCAAAGCCCACCCAGCTCTTACATCCTTGCCCAATATTACTATTACTCCTGTCCAGAAAGCTTCAAATCCGTTTCCGCAAAAACAACCACAAACTGACACTCCAATTATAAGACCGCATGCACAACCTGCACATATTCAAACAAGTCCAGGAAAAAGTTTGCAGGAGAAATTAGCTGAAAAAAAGAAAAGCACGATGGAATCAAAAATAATACGTATTGATTAGTTTGTATATATGAATTATATTTTATTTGACTTATATCAGTATTCAAAGTCTTGTAATATTTATCATAAAACATATTTAAGTACTAAATATTACTAAAAGTACTAAATAAAAATAGGCACTATTTTTATATTTGAATTAGTTAATCTTAGCTTTATAATAATAAATGTTTCAAGATCCATTAATCTAATACCAAAGCTGAGAAAAAATTAAATCGAATTAAAAATTAAAAAACAAAATTAAATTGCTTTGTTTTTTTTTTTTCATATAAATTACAGTATATATTATATACATTTTTTTCAATATAAATTACCAAATAAATAAATTATCGAAATAAATAAATTTATAAAACTATATCATTACACTAAAAATAAGTTATTATTCTTCATAAGCAGCCTCTTTCTTCTGAACGGCACTAACAATATCTGCTATGCTTTCTACAGTTTTCTCAAATTCAACTTTATCTGAGTTTTGCTTCTCCACATTAGTGTCATCAATTTCCTTTACGATACCAGAATGATAATATGAGGATGGTTTTCCATGATGTTGCGAATTGTTTTGAATAGGACTTTGTGGCTTTGCGACATGAGGCTTAGTATGATGATAATGATTCCCTCCTACATTGTCATGTCCTGGTTTATGGTGTGTAGGGCGACACTTCGGAAACCTATCGTCTTTAGGAATACAGTTTTCGGCTATCAAAGTTGCTGTGACTCTGTTATCAATTACGTTCTGTACTTTTGTGACAAACAAAGTCTTGGTAACCGTTTGCTTCTTGCCACGTCCCATCAACTGATCTATAAATCTGGGATATTCTACTTCTTCGTCATCAACGGCTTCAGTGTCAATTAATTCTACTGGTGTATCCACAATTGGTGTTCGGCGGAACTCCAAATATTTTCCTTGGCGCAATTCTGATGGTTCCATGTCTTCATCAGCAATATCATCACCATACCACAAAGCTGTTGCTTCAGGCATGCGTAATGCTGCAGTTGGCTCGATATAAACACTTTCTTCTTCGCTCTCAAATGATTCTTCGCGTTCTTCATTGTTATTTTCAGATTTTGGATAATGTCCGTAATAATCATTATTGTGGGGTCCATTGTGGGCAGCAACGTGTCCGCAAGGAACTTTTCCTGGATAGGCGGTTATGCAAACTGGATTGCGTGTGATTCTTTTGGTAATTTCCACGAAGACCGTTTTTGTAACTTTTGGTGCCGGTTTCTTTTGTGGAAATTGAGGTAACTGTGGCAGTTGCGGTAATGATAGTGTTGGAAAGTTTACCGTAATTGGAGGCCTGTAAAGGAAAAATAGTCGCAAATGTAAAAACAATTTTATTGAAAGTTGGGCTCAACAAAATCAAATCATTTTATACAATAATCTACTATTTTATTAACAACAATTATTACAGTTCTCGCTTGCAATCAGGACTTCCATACCGCTATGGTACTCAAACTTCTCTTTTTACACTGTATTTAGATGGCAACCGGTCAATCTGAATCTGTTTGGTGCATTTTGAACTTCCCGTAGGAGTTGGTTTTTGCCAGAAAGTCTGGCTTACACATTTTATTTTTCGACTTTCAAAAAATTTAAAATTATTTGGGACCTAATTTGGAAAAATTGTATGTATATATGAATCGAAATTTGATTTTTCGTCGACTTTTTTTTCAAAAATGGCGTCGGAAGTTTAACTAGTGGTGTATGGCATCGTGCCTTAAGGCAATCAATTGTTTTGTCAACATAACAAGGAAGTTTTTTGAATCATTAGTTTTATCAAAAAATGCCATTTTTGCACATTTTGCTCGGTACCTCCGAAACGGCTGGACGTGCCATTGCCAAAAATTAATCACTACTTTTCCCTATCATTACGAATTGAATGTTTTTGGATTTGGAGGTTATTTCCTGCACTCTTTGCTTCGTATCTCCGTAGCGGCTGGATCTGCCTGTGCCAAAAACGAATTTTCACATCTCCCTATCAATAGGAATGGAATCATTCAAATTGGTTGATCCGTGCACCCGAAAACGTGGACGAAAAAATGCGTACACACATATCAATTTTTTCTGGGGTATGCCAAAATGTTCAGAAACCTTCAAAACGTGAAGATATGCAATAAATATTCATTTTTGATTTTTGGCCCATTACTACCCTACGGGAAGTTAAAAAGTCGATGTAACTAGATGACTCCTCGCGTTGATTTTTACTCAAAGACATTTATAATTATCAACTAACAATTTAATTAATTTTGATCACTTACTTGACGGTGGGTTTTTGCGGTTTGCCATCCTGTGGTTTTTCACCGATGTGCAAGGTCGGTAATCCTGGGAGGTTGGAGAGGCTCAATAATGGCTTCTTGGTGGGCAGGTCGAAGTCATCAGCGGCAGACTCGGCATATTCATTGGCTGGTGGTGATTTGGCGTCAACTTCTGCAACAGCTTTCATTCCGAATATACGTCCAATATCAAAGCAATTTGAAGAAGCGATGCATATCGCCATTATTGCGAAAACTAATCCACATTTTATTACAGCCATTGCGAATCACTAAAAAAAATATGATAATTAAATATGTGTAGACAGATAACAAGCAGTGAGAAACAATATACAATCCACAAGCAGTGAGAGGACTAACTGGTAAGTTTTATAAAAACAATTCCTGTTTATTATTAATTATATAATTAATAATAACATTCAAAAATAAAATTATTTATAGATAAAATATGTATAAATAGCATGAAATCTATAGTTTTGTTACAAAAATATTTAATACACACAAAGACTTCACGAACGGAACAAATTCAATTATTATTTAAATACATTATTATAAAATATTATTAATTTTCTTACCTGTTGTTCTCTTTGGAATGGCTGATATGTTATGATTCTTCCTGAACTTCACTACCTCTTTATATTCATTGGGAAGTATTTTAGAAAGTGTCAAACTGATCGAAATTTGCGATAAATAACTTTCTTAGGACATAAAGGGTCAATTTCTACATTTCTTAATGAATCATTTATTACCAAAATAGAATTACAGTTTTAATTCGAACACTTTTAAAATTACAAAAATATTTTTGTTTATAATTGATAAGTGGCCTGCGAAATAGGTAATTTTAGTGTTCTGCACGAAATATTTGTTGTCCAATTGATTTGATTCAAAATTGAAGAAAATTTTAATGTGCTTTTTGATCTATATGTGTTTCTTAATTAGTTTTTTATTTGATCCAGAATTCATTTAGATATCGAAATTGAAAGATTATCTTTTATTATCTATAAATCGGGCATATAAATTTGGTATGCACAATGGTCTATATATAGACTTATATTAATTATATATAATGATTACCATAATATAATTTAAAATATAATTTTAATATGTTTTGAAAAATATTATAATTATATTACAACATATTAGTTATTTCAGCGAGTTTAATATGTAAGACCAACTTATATATATTTTTTGCCATTCATAGGCGAATATTATTTTCTGAATCTTAAATTTGTACATGATTTATATTTAAGCAAGTAATAATAATTTACTTGTCGGTAATTTTACTTATATTACATATATACACATATAGACTTATTACACATTGAAAATCGAACACGTGTTCTAATACAACCTTAAGTAAGTATTTTCTAAAAGTATAGAAATTGGATATATAAATGTATATGTTGATTTTTCCATCATTTTATATAAACTAGCTGCCGTAGTTTGTATGAAAAATGGATATATAAATATATATATTGATTTTTCTATCGTTATATATGATCTAGCTGCCTTAGTTTGTATGGGAATTGGATATATAAATGTATATATTGATTTTTCCATCATCATATATGGCCTAACTGCATGAGTCTGTATGTAAATTGAATATATAAATGTATATATTAATTTTTCCATCATTTTATATAGACTAGCTGCCTTAGTTTGCATGGAAATTGTATATATAAATGTATATATTGATTTTTCCATCATTAAATGTGGCCTAACTGCATGGGTCTGTATGTAAATTGGATATATAAATGTATATATTAGTTTTTCCATCATTATATAAGACCTAGCTGTCGTAGTTTATATGAAAATTGGATATATAAATGTAAATATTGATTTTTCCATCATTATTTATGGGGCTGTTGTCGTAGTTTGTTTGGAAATTGGATATATAAATGTATATATTGATTTTACATCATTATATATGGACTAGCTGCCTTAGTTTGCATGAAAATTGGATATATAAAAGTATATATTGGTTTTTCCATCATTATATTTGGACAAGCTGCCTTAGTTTGCATGAAAATTGGATATATAAATGTATATATTGATTTTTACACCGTTATATATGATGTAGTTGCCTTGGTTTGTATGGGAATTGGATATATAAATGTATATATTGATTTTTCCATCATTATATATGGGGCAGTTGTCGTAGTTTGTTTGGAAATTGCATATATAAATGTATATATTGATATTTCTCCTAAGCCGGGACCATAATTGTATATAATAGCGTATAAAGGAATCCAATGGGAATCATCTAAGATTCCTAAGCAATTGCATGCAGCGCCTCTATGAAAAATCGTTCCCAATTCGTGAGGAACTACGTAGTGACTACCGGGTTCATATGGTTCTGTGTCAGATGTCGCCACCGCCTAAAATAACCGCCGTGAATGTAAGAATATTAATATTTGACTTTTCTGTACATCTGTCAAAAATCAAGATCAAACGTTTTCAACTGAGAATGTTTTATTATTGTCTTTCATTTACATAAATACTATTTTAGAAAAATGTCAGGCCCATCAGAAGATTCAGATTACTGGGAAGTGTCGCGAGTGCAAGCATTTAGTTTTGATGATGAACATGTAAGCTATAAAACTTTGTTTTTAATTTATGCAATTCTATTTTATGTAAATATCTTATATTGTAGGAAATTAAATTTAGCACTCTGGACAATAGTCAACCTTTTGAGCAATTAGCAATGCGAATAAGAGCTGATATATCTAATGAAATTGATGTAAAAGACACACAACCCACACTGTTCTCGACTAATATTCCACTGCACACTATTATTAGTGATGATGCTTTACAATGCAGTTAGTACAATTTTTCGACCTCATTAAGAATAGAAATTTGTAAAGTATTGTTGAGAAAGTAAATAATGAAGTGCTAATCTATTGCAAATAGATTTCATTAAAAATCTTTTTCATTGCTAAACCAATTTTACGAATTCAACAAAAGAAGAATAGTTTGGTCTTAAATTTTAAGTATTTATCAAGTTATTTGCTTTCAGTATTACAAGTACAATCTGGAGAAAGTGCTAATAATTCTGTAAGGTCTAACGATAAGTTTAAACGTTGCCTTGATGATATAACCCAAGGACCGGCTCCCTGTGATCTGCTGAAATTTGTATTATTTCAAAGACCTTTTGTTTTAGAAAATTGTAAAAGTTTGAACGATAAAATATCTATATTAGATGAGGCTATTAAATTTGGTGATGGAGATTCTATTCTAATGGTAAAATTGTAATATATTTTTGCAAAGAAAACTTAAATTATAGTTTGATTTCAAGTGATTATTTAGGCTGTACTCTGGATTCAAAAGACTGTGAATAGAAAGATTTTTCAAGATGTTTTGCGTACAAGAACGCTTGCTGTTCAAAATTATATTTCATACCTAATTGATAGAAATCAAAGCAGCGCACTAACAGATTTATTAGTGTTGGTATAACAATGGATTTATCTAATATCATTTTAATTGATTGTTAATTATGACTTTTATTACAGTATGCTTGGAAAATCAAATGAAACAGTGGTAAGAAAATGTGTTAATTAGCAATGCAATTATTATCTTTGTAAATAACTTGATAATGAATATATTTGTTTATTTCAGACGCATCAGTTTCAATTAATCATGTCACAACCACTTCAAACTAGACTGAAAAAACTCAATATGTTATACACAAGTCATTGTACACAACCTAATGTTTGCAGCTTTATTGCAAATACTATTGCAAAATATATTAGTTTGCTTGGTAAACTTTATAATATTATATATTTTTATAAACAAGAAATATTAGATGTTACAATATATCAGACAAAGTATTTTTATCAATAAAATAGTTAAAATATATATTAATAGAAATCAGTTGGTCTCAATTCCAGATTTTGCATAAGTTAAAATTTTACTATTTTTTATGACTCTTTTGAGAAAAGCGTAATACTTTTGTAGAAAAAAATTTATTTAATAGTATAATGTTTTTATTCATTTATTCATCATATTACTTTTTTATTTGTTTTTTTTTTTTAGAGTGGCAGGTAGAAAATTCTATAAGATGTACTACAAATTCTTTAGGATTAACAGTGATTCAAGTTTTATATTGGTTGTGTATGAATCATTGGAATGATCATGATACAGGTAGTAAATATGATCCTAAAGTATTTGCAAAACTCCAACACATTTCTTCTATGCAATATGATTGGACTGTAATATTGGCCCGAAGTATTAAACAGGATTGGCATTCCATAAGAACACTGTATATAAAAACAGTAAGTTGATGTATTTGGGTTGATTCTGTCTATTTTTAAAGATTATAACTTATTTCATATAATTGTGTTATAGGGCTTTCTAAAGAAAAGACAAGTTTCTACTCCTATTCCAATAGATAAACTTATTTTGCAATTACATAAGCTGGAAGCCCCAATCGATCTTTTAGAAGAACTTCTGAATTTTTTATCAGAGCCTAAAAAAACTATTGTAACCAGAGCAATAAGTGCAATATAGCATTGAATAAAATATATTTTATTTGATAAAAAATATAATAACTATTTTAAATAAATATGGTATTACAATTTTATTTAGGAAGTTTTAACATTTCTATATTTAACTCTCTTCTTAAATCATCAATTGGCTGATCCCATCGTTTTTCCCAATATATACACATAAGAGGTGGCATCGCTTGGCCAACTTTTATTGCCCATGGCAAGTAATAGTTTTTGTACATCATTCTCTGTTTGGGACGTAATCTCAAAGCACCAAAAAGTGCTCCACCTATACACATGGGTAATTCGTTATTTAAAGCTTCTATCCATTTTACTGTTACCTGCAAGATATTGTATATAAAATATAATTTTGGAGTATAATTTCTTAATTAAAATAAGTAAACCTACTTCACCCAGCATATGTGTTGGCATTCCAAGTACAGCATGATAAAGATCATGGCATTCCCTATATCTTTGCATAACATATCCTAATTCAACATCATCTAAAAACTGAACAGTTAATCTTGAATCAGGTGTCACTTTATTATCTTCTAAAAATTTATAATATATTTGACCAAATGTATTGGCAGGTAAATTTTTTAAAGCCTTCAGATCTACTGTTTTCGAATTAATTCGTGGCCTATCTTTAAGAACTGCATTGCCTTCTGAACAATTCCTCATTTTGTCATAAATGTTTGATAAAGCCTTTTGTCCAGAAACTTCACCTAAGCATGCTATCATGTCATGTCTGCACTGAAATAGGTGCATATTTAGAAGTTTAAAAAATCATTTGTATATTAAGAACTACTTTGGCACCTGTGTGGATCGACTAAAGAAGCCACTGCACTTCCCAAGCTTAACAGATTCTTTTGAAAAGGAGTTGTGGAGATACGATTATTCCAAAATTCATTTTCAAACAAATCTGGTTCTCCATCAATTTTAGTATTTTCAATATCATTGTGCAAAAAAGAAACTCTAATAGGGAATAATAACTTTGGAGGTCTACGAACTAATACCGTGCAGAAAAAAGACATTATTTTTTATATACTAGCAGAAATACAATTATAAAAATATTTATAAACTCGATCTCAAAGTGACATCTTCATTTGACAGTTGTTGATAATCCCTGTTATCATGGCTAAAGATAATTATAAATATTTTGTTTACGTTAAAATTACGTTTAATTCCTCTATTATTTTAAATGATAATACGTTTATAGTTCATAGTTTTTCTTTATAAATCAAATTAGTGAAAGTATTTAATATTGGACTCTCGTGGATTAGGTTTGCATTACACATACCCTTCTTTTATCTAGGGAGGGCATTACATATTGCCCTTGTAAGTCTTATGGTTATATCTTATATTCTTATATATCTCCAACAAATCTTTTTGCTTTGAACAAAAAATGATAAACATCAGTAAGATTGATAAAATTTAGATTTTCTAATTGAATTTCGCGCCTTTGACTTCGTCTCATTATTCAAATAGCGGCAGCCATTTGTTTTAACTTGATTTTGACAGCTCCTGATACCTCATGACACCTCATGAAGTACGCGTCTTTAGGAAAATTGCAAGCAGGTGCATAAAAAAGTAAATAACCCTAATGCCTACAGTCGAGATACTACAAGACCTAATGACCTAAGGTCTATTCCTCGACTGCTACGTGAGCTCTAACTGTCTACAAATCCCACCCTAGACAAGCTAAGAATCAATATTCTTCTATAATTTCTATAATTATTTAATTATTGCTTTCTCGACATCAAAAATAAACGGGTACTTCAAAAATATTATTGTCAGAATTGTAGAATAGACCTTAAACATCTCTTTTATCAATCATTTTAAATGTGAGATTCAAGTAGGCTTGTCAAAATCGGCTACTTTTATTTTACTAGATTACTAGATTAAAATTTATTGTCAAATTGTTACCAACTTCGCGCAAATTCTGTGTATGACGTTTTGATTTGACGTTTAGTAATAATCTCAATAAGTTCAGTTGGGCAACACTATCACTTTGGCAATGTAAAAAGTTTCAGTCATCGTAAGCCGACATAATGGCGGAAAATCAAGAAACTTCTAAGAAAATTAATGTCACTGTTAAAACACCAAAAGAGAAACAAACAGTGGAAGTTGAGGAAGATGCCGAAATTAAAGACGTATGTGTTTGAAATCAATTATGTTTATTAAATGTCATATTTTTTCGCAATACATATCGATGATGCATCATAATTTTCAATCTAATCTGCATAATTATTATTTCCAGTTCAAAACTTTGGTTGCTCAGAAATTCAACGCAGAACCTGAGCAATTATGTCTTATTTTTGCGGGAAAGATAATGAAGGATACTGATACTTTGAAAGGTCACAATATTAAGGATGGTCTTACTGTACATTTAGTTATCAAAACTCCTCCAAGGCCTGAGCCAGAAAGGGCAGCTCAGAGACCTCCAGGTACTTAAAAGACCTTGATAATATAATGGAAACAGTTTATTTTGACGATGATATTTCATCATCACATGTTTGTTTACCATGACACATTGTGCAATTATAAAACCATGTGTATTAATCATTTTTTGCTATTTTATTTATATCTGAAATAATAGAGTTTTTTTTATCAATGTGTAGATATAAATGTTATGTAATTATTTTGATATGAATAATACTGGTGCACAAAAATTAAGACAGTACATATAACTATAACCTTAATTTCAATTAGTTTTGATATTTGAAATTTATTCCAATATTTTAAATTTTGTTTCAGCTGATATCAGTGCGACACCTTTTGGATTAAATTCACTAGGAGGTTTAGTTGGATTAGAGTCATTGGGTTTAGGTCAAGGTTCATTCATGGATTTACAAGCACGGATGCAAAATGAACTCATGACTAACCCCGATATGTTAAGAAATGTTTTAGATAATCCACTTGTTCAGCAGTTGATGAATGATCCTGAGAACATGAGAACCTTAATTACATCTAATCCTCAAATGCAAGATTTAATGCAAGTTAGTATCATTTGGTCTTAATTTATAATTTGGAAACAATATCTTTGAAGTTGCTATTTGCTATTTCAAAATATTATATATTTTAATACGATTATTTTAATAAGTATATCTTGAATATAAAAACCAAATGACAAATAAAATAATTGATATTTGCAAATTTTAATGTACATGTTTAAATATAATTCGTTAGTCAACTGCTGTTTTTTTTTCATAAGGATGAAAGGCTGTGTTTTATATACTTGATAATATAAATTTTTTACGCTCTACTTCAAGGTTACTTTTTAATTATTTTGATCAAACAATATGTACAATTATTTTCCTAATAAGTAATATGTAAAATAATCTCAATTACTAGCGCAATCCAGAGATTTCTCACATGCTCAACAATCCTGAGTTGCTCCGTCAAACCATGGAATTAGCTCGAAATCCATCAATGTTGCAAGAATTGACTAGATCTCAAGATCGTGCTATGTCAAATCTTGAGAGTGCCCCAGGTGGCTATAATGCACTACAGAGAATGTATCGTGATGTTCAGGAACCTTTACTAAATGCTGCTACAGAGGGTTTGAGCCGACATTCCTTTAGTAATACTAACACAAGTAAATTTTTTATGTCAAACCATGAGATTTAATTATTTATTGCTTGCAAATATTTAAAACATCTTATTATTATAATTAGGTAGTGGAGGTTCTGACAACAATCCACAGCAAGGTACAGAAAATCGAGCTCCTCTGCCAAATCCTTGGGGCTCAAGTGAAGGAGGGGGAGGCAGTCAAGGATCCAATACGAATACTGCACGCAGTCCTCTATTGAATCCACCAGGGTTGCAAAGTTTAATGCAACAAGTATGTTTTTAAAGATATCATTAAGTTTAATTATTTTATTCTTTTTGTTACATTTAACATAGTTCTACAGGTAATTTTTTTTTTTTGATAGATGGCAGAAAATCCTCAAATGATGCAATCAATGTTGAATGCGCCATACATGCGTACTTTAATGGAAGCTTTGTCACGTGATCCGGCTATGGCTTCTAATTTATTGGGTCAGAGCCCTTTGCTAGCTGGTAATCCACAATTGCAGCAGCAGATGTCTGGAATGATGCCACAATTATTGCAGCAAATGCAAAATCCTGAGGTCCAGAGCATGATGTCTAACCCCCAAGTAAGTTAACAATAATAGAGCTTATGTAATCAAATATATTGCAAGAAATATCTGATATATGATGTGATTATTAGCATTTTCTAATTATTGAATAACTTTTTATTATTTTAAAGCAGGAAGCAACAAATAAAATGCCTACACTTAATATAATTATAATACCATGCATATTGAATGTTGAACTTTACTTTTTATTTCACAGGCCTTAAATGCGATAATGCAGATTCAACAAGGAATGGAGCAACTAAATGCTGTAGCCCCTGGTTTAATGAGTGGATTAGGAACACGCCCTCCTACAGAAACCGGAACCACAACACCACTTCCTACAACAGGCTCGGCAACTTCTACACCAGGTCAGGGAGCTCCTAATTCAGATGTCTTTTCCCAATTTATGTCTCGTATGATGGGATCAATGGCATCAGGCAATAATCCTGATATACCACCGGAAGAACGATATAGCTCACAATTGGAACAACTATCAGCTATGGGATTTGTTAACAGGGAAGCTAATTTACAAGGTAAACAAAAAATACATACTTATATTATTAGTTACAGCTTTTCATTTCTTCCATTGTTTTAAATAGTATGTTATGTATGGTAATGCAAAATGAAATGAGAAATTATGAGACACTTCCATGAATTGAATATTCTTCACTACTGATGTTTTATAATAAAATATTTTTAATTACAAATTTGTCTATGAATTTACAATCATAGGCTAGATAAAATACTTAAATTGATTATTGTCAGGAGCTGGTACTGGTCAGTTATCCTTCCATTATATATTTGCCAAAAATGTTATATTTTATATCTATATTACTATAATAAATACAAAAAAAAATCATTTGGTTTTAAGGAAAAGCAATAAAACTAGAAGTATTCTTTTATTTTTGCTGTTCTTTGTTTTTGTATTTGTAATAGTATTATTACTACTATCTTTTATATCATTTTATTATATTCTAATTATTCATGTCATGTTTATTTTTTTATTTCAGCTCTCGTTGCCACTTTTGGAGATATAAATGCAGCAGTTGAACGACTCTTGGCTTTGGGACAACTGTCCATGAGCTAACAATCCGAACTCTGTAAAAAAATTAATTACAAGTATTTTGTAACATGATCTTATTTGATTGTTCTTGGGAACACATTATTTTGTTAGTATATAAAACTGCATGTCATATTTTTTCAATATTAATTGGTTTGTTTGGTTATAAGTTGTAATGTTTATCATGTTACAAAATCTATATAAACTAAACTGGATAATATTGGTTAATTTGACGTTAAGTTATATAAATGTTCCAAAAATGAATGTTATAATATATGAATATGCACAAACTTGTGTGATTGAACACCTGTTTATTTTGCATAATGATTACATACTACGACATAGCAAGCTAGAGATGTCTAAATATATTAAATTAATTGCCTTGAGGTAAGTATCCTAAAATTTGAAAAAAGAATTACATTCCATTGATTTATATGGTTGACAATATAAAAAATATCATTAAATCACCGTAATGTAATAATGAAAAGTTACCTAGTTTGTTTTTGTATCATTGAATTATATTAACTAATCTTATTGGTGTATAATAAAATTTGGAAATTAAAGATTATTTTGAAACTGGAATCGTTTAGTTTTCACAATTATCAAATTTTATTATTAGTTTCAGATTTTGCCAATATCCTATTCATTGTATTCATGGACATAAATGCATAGGATACACAATCTGATGTTGCATAACAAAAGAGTATTTAATCATTTAAAAAATTGTGTTTCTTTTTTATAAAAACAAAAAGAAAATCTATCCAGTACTGACAGTTATGTTAAATATATAATTACACATGTATTAATTACGCAGCATGATTTATTACTTTACTATTATAATTCTTATGATAAGTGTCTTTGATAGCAAGATACTAGGTGAAAAATTTCGACAACCGTTGTCTAATGGCACTAAAAAAATTGATTATTGCAACTACCCCTGTCAATTGAGCAATGGAACAGTATTGGATGTTAATAATTATTTGTGCGAGAGGAGTTTGAGAAAATCTCAAGCAAAATCGGAACAATGTATGTGAGTATTGTACATCTTATTAATACTAAATAGGTAAGTCTAACAATGTATAGTTAATACAAACATGTATTAGTCTATAGACGACTCTCGTACACACAGGTCGCTAAGAAGATGTCAAAAGGGTTGATTGTAAAACTGAAATATATATATTTTTTTTACAGAAAGCGTGGGTTTCATGAAATACCACACACCGATTCTATTCGTATGTTGATGTTGCAAGCCCACAACGCGGTCCGAAATAGAGTTGCTCTTTCAAGAGCTGTTGGTCCAGTAGCTGATATGAATGCACTGGCTTGGGATTATGAATTAGAGGAGATGGCACGGGTATGAGATTTTGAAAATTTAAATATGTTAACATAACATGAATTTCTCTTTCAATCTTGCCCTGATATACTCTAAGCAATTATTCAAGATTTAAAAATTAACCGTTTTTTCAGATGCGTCTTACAGATTGCGAAGAAACGCCAACTATATGCCCTATGAATTTATATAATGATGACATGGTTTTGGCTGGTGAAAATTCTTTAACAATATATTCTCTAGTCTTCCCAAAACATTTTGCTTCACAAGTTTTAAGGCAATGGTTTTTTCAGGTATGAAAAGCATATTGTGATAGATGATATGGTCATTACATCATTTTATAATTCAATCAAATTTATATTCATGCTTAGGTCAATTTATTGATCTAATTTTTTTTTATAATATTCTTTTAACTTAATTTTAAATTGATTCTCTTCTTTGATCATCTTTATTTCTTTCGGAAACCCATTGAGTAATTTTATAGCACTCCAAATAGTGTTCCCCCTGGTTTTTATTCGTTTTAGATGATAATTTTCCTGTTGTCTAGTATTATGCTTATGTATTTTCTTTATTTACAAAAGTTGTGTATTTCCTCTTATTTACAAAAGTTTTTAACTTCCCGTAGGGCAAGTTATAGTATCGCAAAAAAATCGAAAATGAAAATTTTTGCATTTCTCGACGTTTCAAAGGTTTCTGAATATTTTGGCATACCTTAGAAAAAATGGATGTATGTGTGTGTGTGTGTGTGTGCGTGTGTGTATGTATGTGCGGATACAAATTTTCGTCGACGATTTCGGGAACACTGATCAACCGATTTGAATAATTCAAAAAACATTCGATTCGTATTGATAAGGAGACGTGCTGATTAGTTTTTGGCGAAGTCAGGTCTAGCCGTTCCGAAGATACGGGGCAAAAAGTGCCGAAAACGGTAACTCAGTTTTTAAGAGAACGGAGCATCCGATTTCAATAATTCAAAAAACATTTTACTTGTATTGACAAGGTGAAGAACCGATCAAATTTTTATAAAGGCTGGTCTAGCGGTTTCGGAGATCTAATGAAAAAAGTAAAAAAAATGCCATTTGGCGGTCAAAAATGATCATTAGGCATATGCACATCAAATTATCAGATATTTTATAGAGATTTTAACAATAAGTATAATTTTGGTTTACATTCCTATGGGTTCCCTACCAATGTTTACGCGTTAGACGTCGACGTGGCGCTTACGCGGTTTGATATTTCGTCTTTATGCAGTTAAAGCAGTACGATTGCTTTGAAAAAAAGTTTAGATCTTTCAAAACATGTCAAAAAAATTTAAAAAAAAATTTTTTTTCGAAAAAAAGTAATTTTTTGTCTAATTGTTTGTCAAAAATCTTATTTTTTCGAAGTAATAGAAAGAAAAAATAATAATTTTTGGTACAGGAAGTTCCAGCAATCCACTTACAGCTAGTTATTGTTCTTATATTCTAGTAGGCTCGCTACACAAGACTGTACGATTTGGAAAATGGATTATTACCAAGCCATGCAAATGCATTTACACAAGTTGCTTGGAGTTTATCCAAAAGGGTTTGTATTTAGAATTTCAAGATTATTACAAATTATTTGAGACAGGTTTAAGTTTATGTATAATGCTATACATTTCTAGGTGGGTTGTGCTGCAAACAAATTCAGATATCCTAGGAAGGGATATCGTATGCTTTGTTATTATATGCCCGCTGGCAACGTGGTTAAACAACCGGTATTTGAAAGAGGAATTGTTTGCACAGATTGCGAAGGAGTACCTTGTAGTAAACTTTATATTGGATTGTGCGGAAGATTCACGAATTTACCAAATATCAGTTCTCATTTTGTGTTGATACCATTGATGTATTTTGTTGCATCATTTATAATAAAGATTATAAATGTCGATTAATAATAAAGTTTTGCATGATATTATTACTAACTTCCGAAAAAGTGTACTTTTTTACCGGAAAATCCGGTTGGATAGTTTCCAAGTTTCCTCAACGTTTCAAGTCGTTCTGAGTCGTTTACCACCAAAATTGGAAATTTGTATGTGTATTTATATGTTTATGTGAGTCGAAATTTAGTCTTTCATCGTTTTCTCAAAAACGTCGGAATCTATTTCAAAAATTTAAAGTTCTTTTGTTGAATCTCGGTAAGAACTAATCTTGATTATTTTTTTTTGTGCGATTGGTCGAGCTGTTTCTTTAGAAGTTGCAGAAAAATGCAAAAAGAATCGTCAACGTTTTAGGAACAAATCTTTAACCAATTTTGAAAATTTAAAAGTTTTTGAAAAGATATTTGGAAATTGCGGTGATTGGCTCTTGGTAATGACTAGTCAGGCCAATTCTTTGTGATTATTTGCTGAATTTTGATCACAGCTCATCACCATTGATAACATACTTAGGGGACGTTAATTAATCACGTGGACCTTAAAGGAAAAGGGAAGGGTTGACAAAAAATTACAAAATGTCACTTGGAAAGGGGTAGAGTATATCACGTGTATTTATTTTTTACTTCGAATTTAAAAAAATACATAATTTTTGAAAAAATATTATTATAAAAAATTTACGATTTTTAGGTATTAAGAATACACGAGATATTTGGTGAGGGAGGTGGGTTAATTTTAAATATCACCTAAAAAGGGGTCTAAAAATTCTTAGAGCTCATTTTATTAATGGACGCCGCCTTACGAGTTAGATAGAACACACATTTTTAGAGTAAAATGTGTTAAAAAGATTAAATTAATTGATAACAATTACTTTTACTCCAATTTGAAAAAAAATACATTTTAAAAATATTCAAAAATTTTACGAATTTTAGGTATGCATTAAAAATACATGTGATGTTTGGTGAGGGAGGGGGGTTAATTTTAAATATCACCACGTATTACTAAGGGTAAGGAGGAGTCTAAAAATTCTTAGAAATTGCTCACGTGATTAATGGACGCTCCTTTGCAATTTGAATAAAATACATTTTGAGAAGATAAAGTAAAATAAAATGTGTTAAGAAAATATGCTGCAAAGATCTCCAGTCTGTTAGGTTTTAGTGAGAAACAAAAACTTTAGAAGTAAATAGTAATAGTTGTAATATAGTTATAGTCTTATAAATTTTTTATCTAAATAGGTAAGAGCCCCCTGTGTGGTGTGCAGCTGTTTAAAAAAAAACTATTTGCATATATAAATAAAAACATCCAAATTGACATATAAATACTTATTTTTTATTTACATTCTTACACAATTTTATTGCATATTATTTTGTCGCTCGTTAAATAAATTAAAACATTAAATAAGTATTTATGAAATTTGATTCTTAGAAAAATAATATAAATAATAATTTTATTATTTATAATAATAATTAAAAACAATATAAATAAGTAAAGATAACAATTAAAAAAGCCCGCGATGCGAAAAGGTTGGAAGCACCTGGAATATTTATGCACATCGGTAATGTTGCATGGTTGCATAAATGTTTACAAGTTCATGCAACTTGCCTTAAGGTAAAATGTCACTTACAACTAGTAATTATTTCAATAACGTAATATAATATTTATTGAACATATATTTATATATTCTGTTAATATATTTAAGCAAAGTAAATTATTTAAAAAATAACTTTTTTAATACAACTTCCGCAAATACATTTCCTTCTCCCCCCTCCATTCGAATGATATTTGACGTTTCTTGCGACAACATTGACAGTTCAAGTGTGACAAAAATATGTCATTTACTTATTGTGATGTTTTATGGTTTATTAAAACGCAGTTTTGCCGTGATTATTATTTTTGTTGATCATTGATTTAACGAACGATGAACATTCCACACGAATTTATATAACTTGTGAATAATGATTAAATTAAACTAATTGAAATGTCATCGTAAAACTATCATGTTAAGATTATAAGTTAACTAAAAATTAAAAAATAACTAAAATGGTTTTCGAGTCGGTTGTTGTAGATTTATTGAATCGGTTTTTAGGTGATTATGTGGAAAATTTGGACAGGTCTCAGCTACAAATAGGAATATGGGGAGGTAAGGTTATATTTTTGGGTTTGACTAAACTTTTTACACATTGATCTTTATAAATCTTGGCCTAAGTAAATGTTATAAACTTATGAAAGAATAACGAAATTGGCAGATTCAAATATTTGTTTCTTATATTTGAAAACAAAAGTTGATCCATGTGTGAAAGATTAATTTGTGAAAGCTTTCTTTGCTGAAGGCCAAATAGAAATATTTGAGCTCATTTGGTTTTGGAAGGTACTTCAAAATTATGTTAATATGCTTCATGCATATTAAATGTATACATATATATATATATATATATATATATATATAAATATATATATATATATATATATATATATGTATATGTATATATATATATTTATATGTGCATGTTTTTCCTCAGACAGAACACTAAATGTAATGATGTTATTAAAAATTGTTATTTATTATAGTTATATTTTATTTTACATTTTTGTAAACTGAATGATTTAACTCTTCAAATAGTTGTTAATTATGCAATTGCATCACTTTTCAAATATTTAATCAATTAGATCAGAATCAATAATACATACATATATATGTTGACATATGTATTAACAAAGTCTAGTAATCGGGCATAACGTCAATAAAAAACCTCAATTTCTTTCAAAAATTTATTTTAATTTCATACGTTAATATGTAAAAAAACATATTACATATAGCAAAATAACATATATTTACATATATAATTTGTAGTTGTATTTAAATACAAATTTATTTTACACATATTAGTTTAGATTTTTTTATTTGCATATTCACATAATGATATTTATATATTAATATTTACAGGTGATGTTGTATTAAACAACCTTATTCTAAAGCAAACAGCTCTGAACGATCTTGATTTACCAGTACAAACTGTTTACGGTCACCTTGGAAAATTAATACTGAAAATACCATGGAAAAATCTATATGGTGCTCCTGTTATTGCATGCGTAGAGAGATTATATTTACTCGCTGTGCCAAATCAAGAGGTATAATTCTGAGTTTTTAAAAAAATATTATATAAAAAATATCTCTAGATCATAATAATTGATTTAAAAATCTTAATCATATATGAAACATAGTTTATATACATGTTAAAAAATCTTGTTTTAGGTTGAATACAATCCTGATAAGGAAGATGCAAAATTACTGGACGAAAAACGTCGGGAACTGCTTCGAGTTGAAGCAGCCAAAAAGAAAGAAGCTGAAAAGGGTAGGATTTTTCATAATTAATCCTCACAGAAAATATTTAATTTTTTATTTTTCCAGATCTACCAAAGCCTGATGATTCCTTTGTTGAAAAACTTGCTACACAGATTATAAAAAATGTTCAGCTGAAGATACGAGATGTTCATATTCGATATGAGGATGCAGTCACAAATCCAGGTCACCCATTTTCACTTGGGGTAACTTTGAGTAATCTAGCTCTGGAGACCACCGATGATAAATGGAAAACTGGTGTGGTGATAAGCGATGCCTTGACTAAAATATTCAAAGTGAGTTTTCTTTTCTTTAAATGATTCACCCCTTAAACTAAATAGAACATGTTTAACACATTATACATGAAGGAATTTATTTATTTTGCATTTTTGGGAAGTTATCAGTATTTTGATTTATAATTATATTATACCATCTTTCTTAAATGAGTTATTAATAAAACCAATATAATCTGCACATTACAAGATTAAAACTTACTAATTTATCTAAAGAATCTCTATATCTGTTTTTTAGATATTTACTTGATAGCTATTAAATACTTAAACTTGCAATTTAATATTCATAATTTATTAAGTTGAATATATCTTATTCATTTATTATTGATCTTACTATTTGAGTGGAATATGTATTTTTAGAATAATTTTAGCAAGTTTTCTTTATGATTCATATATTCAATAGTTTTTATAAATAACATTCACTCGAGTATAAAGATATTCTACATTATTATGACATGCAAATGTTATAAGTTTATGAATCATTGCTAGACTATTCATTAAGAAACATCATTCATTTGATAGCCAGTGTTCAAAAAGTAACCAATATCAATATTTTAAAAGCGTTAAAAAGAAATGTAATAATTAAATAAATAATAAAAACTATAAATTATAGTAAAAAATAGGATTTGTGATGTTCCTAATTAGAATACCAAATGTTATTTTATACAAATCAAGAAATTGTAATAGTCAATATTTTTAAAATGATTTAAATTTTAGATAGTAGAGTTGGAAGGCTTAGCAATATATTGGAATCCAAACACTGAACAAATCTCTGGATTGTCACCGCAAGTTCTACTTGAAAAATTTACTTCAGGAATAGTGTCTAGGGATAATAAACCTGTTGGGTATAGCTATTGTTAGTAGAAGCTTCCTAAGAATTATAATAAAATGGAATTTGTTATATATATTTTGTGTAATCCATAATTAGTGCTTGGTCCAATAAATTCAACTGCACGACTACGATTGAATCCGAAACCAGACCAAGATCAACCAGCTTTTGAAACTCCTAAAATAATTTTAAATCTTGATATGGAAAGTTTATCTATACAGCTTGATAAAACACAATATCAGGATGCAATTATGCTTGCTGAATCTATGGACAGAATGAATAAAGGTAACTATTTCTTAGATTGTACACCAAAGCTTAATTTTTAAACATGCAACTATGAAAAAAAATTAAAGTTAGATTTTATTTATTTATAAGTTCATATACAAATATTTAAATACATGATTATTGCAATAAGTAAAGGTAAACATACATTTTGTTCATATTTTGTAAATAATTGATTATATACTATTTTTATGTCTAATTAGGCAAGCCATATAGAAAGTATAGACCATTTTTGAAGCAGTACAGAGGTCACTATGCAAAGTGGTGGAAATTTGCTTATGAGTGCATTTTAAACGAAGAAGTGAGACGTAAAAGAAATAATTGGTGTTGGGATCATATGACAAAACACAGACAAAGGTAATGCAGTTAATAGTTAGATGGTAATTAAATTTAGTTTTGTATTTTAATTTGGTTTTAATCTTTAATAGGTGCAAGGATTATGCTAATGCCTATCAAGAAAAATTGCGCAACAAAAAATGTCCACAAGATGTTCAAGGCATTATTGACTCTTGTGAACGTCATCTGGATTTGAGGAATCTTGTTATCATTAGACAAAAGATTGAAGTTGAGGTAAATAGATAGTTCAAGTAAATAGCTTTAGGCTCAGTTTGATTAATACTATTGTGCATTGAAACTTATTGCAGGTAGAAAGATTAGAAAAAGTAAGTAATAAGATACCAAAGTCTAATAAATCATGGTTATCTTCCTGGTGGGGCGGTGGAGCTACAGATGAAGATAAAGAAATAAAAGATACAGTTGATATAAGTACAGATAGAAAAATTAATATGATTTATCTAAAAATTACTTAATTAATTTATAAATTTCAATTCATAGTGAAAAGATTTGAGGATGCTATGACTCCAGAAGAAAAGAAAAAGCTATTCCGCGCAATTGATTATCAAGAAAATTCTGCGCCGACTGAATATCCGAAAACTTTTGTTGAAACGACTGTAACATTTGTTTTGAGAAAACTCGATATCAAGGTTAGTTGATAATTAAGATCAGATCACAATATTATTGTTTTAAATAAACATAATCAAGTTTTTTAAATTTATGTAGTGGAATTTGAACAAATTTCTAGAACATAGAATAGTAATGTCTTAAGTGTATTTTATATTATTTTATATTAGTTTTAACTTTATCATTTTATTTTAAGTAGAATTTTGTGTAGCATTCAACTTATGAGACTGAGAGGATTTTCCTAATAAACTTATTTGTTTAATTATTTTAAAATCGCTTGTAATTATGCCTATTTATCATTGCAAACTTAAATTTTTTAAAATAAATAAATGAAATCAGTCTTAATATATTTAAAAAAGCTCCACATAGATCTTAGAACAAAGAATTATAAAGTATATTGCTAAAAGTGAATTTTATATTACTTTATATTTATTTGTTAATTTATTTTAAAGTCAGTTTGTCTTTTAACTTATGAGAGTATTCACAGAAGCAATTAATTTTTTAATGTATTTAAATATTGTTCGTTCTCACTAATTACCAAATTGTATCTATTTAAACTAATTGATTAATTGAAATTGATATTCATATATTATTTATTCAGGTACGAGATGATAATGGACTATGCGTGCTAAGTACAGAGCTAAATCGAGTTGAATGTTCATTAGATCAAAGACCTGCTGCCTCTGCGATGAAGTAAGTTGAGTTATTAATCATCTTTTAATTTGCAATTTTGTGTCAATTATATAAATATTATTGAACCAAAATTTCTAATAACACACAAATTGCTTTTAGACTTTTAATATTCAAAATAATATAAAATTCCTCAGATAATTGTATATTCTTTCCCAATTTCATTTATTACCAAATTTTATTTATTTTCATTACAGGGTCAAGTTGTGCATGAAAGAGTTCTCTATACATGGTTTGGAGCAAGGTGACTATAAGCCGCAACTTGTTACTTCAAAGCAAACAGATGACTCAATACATTTGCTTGATGTTCTGTTTGAAACAAATCCATTGGATGAATCTTGTGATCAACGGTTGCATTTAGTGTCTAGACCTTTGCAGATTCTCTATGATGGAAAGACTATAGAGAGAGTTATAAATGTGTTTACTGTACCTGAAGAAAGTTCTGAAATTGCAAACCAGTATGTATATGGATTGATTATATGAGTTAATACAATGTATTAACTATTTAAATTGTTGATGTTTAGATTTCAAATGGCTGCCAGTACTCGGTTGGCTAATATGAAAGAAATGTCAGCAACTGGACTACAATATGCTATTCAAAAACAAGCATATACTGAAATTAAAATTGATATTATTGCACCATATGTTCTGGTTCCATACAAAGGAGTTTTCTCTGGGTAAGAAAATTGTATTTTTTGGTGTAAGATGGAACAGAGAATACTGAAACTATTTTATTTTGGTGTTCTTTAACTTAAATCCTCAGATTACACATATTTGTTAATTTTTTTTGCAGTAAAGAATCTATGTTAATTATGGATTTGGGTCGATTACAAGTAAATACTAAACCTCGCGGTAGTCATAATATTCAAGAGATGCATTCAAAGGGTCTTGGAGAAGAAGATATTATGCAAAGAATGTTTGAACAGAGTTATGATGTTTTTATGATGCAAATTACTGACATGCAGGTATTTTTTAATATATTAAAGGATCATTTATCTTATTATTTATATAATTATTAGCTAATTTTTACTTTTTGTGGATTTTGTGGTAGAAAATTTAAATAAGTCATTTATTAGGAGAGCAAAATAATAAAAATAATTCTCTTACTTGTTCTACAGGCTCTTTTTGCTTTAGAATCCGAGGATTGGTATTCAGCTTTAATGGGTAATGATGTAACTGCATTGCATTTATTGCAGCCGACAAGTTTAACAGTAGCAATACATAAATGTTTGATACAAGATGATCCCAGATTGCCTAAAATAAGGTGAGCATTTTATTTAAACAAGAACTTCTCTTAATTATTATTGACTTTATAATTCAATTCAATATCTTGGTTATTTTTGCAGAGTTCTTGGCCAACTAACCTCAGTGATATTGAATATGAGTGATATTCGATTAATTGAAATGCTGTCTCTTGTAAAAAGTTTACCTATTATGCAGGAGGCTGAAATGGCTCCACCGCTAGCTGTAAGAATAATACTAATTATTTAAAATTATTGAACTTAAAGGTTTAATATGAATTGTTGTTATGTATTCATATCATAGGAATCTCAACATAGAGCGTCCAGTTTGTCACTATTAAAATATTTTGCTATTGCTGATAAACCGGAAAATAAGAAAAAGCAGAGTAGTGATAAAATGATTGATCAACTTGTTCAAATGACGGACCTTACAGTTGATTTTGAACTCAAAGGTAATCTGAAAAGATACAATATCAATAGTATTCAAATATTTTTTCTTTTTCATATATAATAAACTCCTAATATTCAAAAAATATTAGGATATATTTCTTACAAACTTTTTGAGTTTATGTTCAGTTTCATTTAATTCCTGAAAGAGTATTCATTAATATAATTATTTATAATATTTGAATTGCTTTCAGAACTTGTAATTACTATGTATAATAAATTGAAACCTGTCGTAAGCAAAACAGAATTAATAACACCTAAAACAAAAATTGATCCATCGAAATATGCTGATAAACTTTTGGCTTTCCATGTTATTGCATTAGAATTTAATTTAATACAACATCCTTATGATATGGACGTTGAACTGAAGTAAGTTGACCTACATTATAATTAATTAACATGCAATTTATGAACAAATTACATTTGAAATACATTTCTACAGATTGGGAGGTGTGGCCTTAAATCATTTCAAAACTTCTGGAATTTTAAATGTAATTAGTACACCAATGACTACTGGCAAAAATGAATATTTGTTTACTGTGAAATATACTAAAGTGAGTAAAAGATTGAAACAACATTACATAATTTATAAAATAGATTCTATTTAGGCATCTAACTGTTTGTATAAAGATACATTACTCTTTATTATGTTTGTTTTTCATATGTTCTTTGAAAAATTATTTCTATTAAATTATTACATATTTTGTTATTTGCATTTACTGACAAATTCAAATAAACTGATTAATAATATTTTTTCTAATAGGTGGATAGAAAATCGCCCGTTTTCCAAACAAAGCACAAGTGTGTAGAACAACTTGTAGATTTGCATTTTACCAGTTTGAAACTTCTGCTCCATCAGCAAGGCATTGCTGAAATATTAAAGGTATATGACTAAATTTAACTATATAAATTAAAATGTCTTGAAAGTTGAAATTAGTACTGAAAATATTTTTGAATTACTTACAGGTTGCTAATGACATGCAGAACAGAATGGAAGAAATATCTGTAGAGGCCAAAACTGATAGATTTGCTTCTATTGGCACAATGCGCGAACCATTATCAACAATACTAGAAGATTCTACTGTATTTGCTTCAAAACCTCGTAAGTTGGAATTGTATCATATAAAGTTTTTATTTTATTTAATTCTCAAGTGACCATTTGTTTGCTTACTGCTTTTTGTACTCTTTTTTCACACATCCTATTCATTTCAAACTCTGTGCTGTGAAAGTTCTTATTGGTTTAATGTGAATAATGTAATACCTTGACTAAAATATTCAAAGTAAGTTTTCTTTTCCTTAAATGATTAACTCCTTAAACTAAATAGAACATGTTTAACACATTATACATGAAGAAATTTATTTATCTTTTATTTTTGGAAAGTTATCAGTATTTTGATTTATAATTATATTATACCAACTTTCTTAAATAAGTTATTAATAAAACCAATATAATCTGCATATTACAAGATTAAAACTTACTAATTTACATAATTTGAAAACATTATTTTGAAAGCTTTATAAAAAGTCTTCATATTTTCCTAAATATATTTATTAAACAGCTCTAAGAAGCTGTTTTATCTATAGTAATATTGAAATTGATTTAGCTGGAATTACAGAACATCAACATAGAGGTGGACGCAAACCAGTGGACAAGATTTTACTCAAAGTAAATGCTGCCCTGGACGAAGTATGTGTTGAACTTTGTAATGATGAACACGATTTAGCAAGACTATCTGTTAACAGTTTAGCATTGGGTGTAGTCTCTAAGCAATCCTATATACAAGTTTCACTAAAACTCGGTGATGTTGCAGTACTGGACAGAGACAAAGACTCTAGACACAACAAGGTGAATAAATCTAAGAAAAAATACAATGTCTGATAGAAGAAGACATTTTTAGACGTCATATGAACCATGTTAAATCAATAAAACGCATATTTATATTTGTAATATTAAAAATGTTTTATTTTCAGATATTATCAGTAGAAAATTCCGATGCATTGACTTGCAACTTAATAGTATATAACCTCGAACAAACTTCTGAGTATAACCAGAACGATATGTCTGTGGAACTTAACACAGGCTGCTTAAAAGTTGTTTTCCTGAACCGCTTTGTTACTTCTGTTTTGGTAAGTTTTTATTTTTAAAATTCTTAAGATTTAAAACTTATATATACTAAAGATTTTTTTTTAAAAAATTAACGATTATTTATTTATTTATACAGAATTTCTTGAACGAATTTCAAGCAGCTCAACAGGCTATCATCGATTCAGCTCATGAAGCAGCACAAGAATTGAAACAGAATATGAAAAACGTGCAGGCTAAGGCTACGCGTATTGAGTTAAAAATTAAATTAAAGGCGCCTATTATAGTTGTGCCTGTAAATTCAAGAAGTTCAGATGCATTGATAATTGATCTTGGTTTGATTTCAATAACCAACAGATTTATATGTTTGGATATTAAGGTAAATTATCATACTTTCACCAAAAATTTCTAGAAGGAATAAAAAAGATCATCAGTGATCTGAGAACATGATCTTATTCTTATTGGATGATTTGTCATACATTCATATATTTTATAAACAATTGTGTCATGAATAATATAGACTAATATATTATTCATAAATCTGCACCAATTCATTATATAGATTAATAGTTAATTTACAGAAGTAGTAATTAAAAGTGTTTATACCACATAAATTATCTTCAATTTTCATCGTTTTTAGAATGAAGAATGTTCATCACCATCATCAGCTGTAGTTGATGAAATGAAACTTCAATTAGATAACTTGCAACTTTGTCGTGTTAATTTGGATGTAACTTCTTCAAAACCTTTAGATTATCATCAATCAATGCATGATGATAATAAAATATTAAAACCAACAAGTTTTGTTTTGGTCATAAGACGTAATTTATCTGCAAACTGGTACAACTGCATTCCTGATCTGGATATGTCTGGCAGAATCAAAAGCATTGAGGTAATATACATATAATTTATATGAATATATATATATATATATATATATAAATTTACATTTTATATATATACATAAATATTTCTACTTTTAGTTGTATATGCGTCAAGATGATTTGAAAATGCTGATGCAGATTTTAGCACAAAATTTAACTGAAGGACAAAATGGAGAAAAGAAGAAAGTTTCTGCAAGGCATAAATCTAATGCAGATGGTAAGAAATACTCACTAACATTATATAAATTATTTGTTTGAAAATATTTAATTAATCATAGTGCTAAATAAATAACAGCAATGTTTTTTTGTAGTAATTATATTTATTTAATTATAGACCTAATTAGTATTGCAAGTGAGTGTATACATTTGAGCTATTGTTGTATATATATTTTTTTTATAAAAATATTTAGTTGAATGACACAATTCATATATAAAAATGGTTACCTAATAGTTTTGTGGTTGTTTTTCAAAGACTGTTTTCACAAAACTTTCACTTTATTTTTTACTTTATAGAAATTTTCAATGAATCTGACTGGAAAGACCCAACCAGAAAATCAGTAAGATACCAGTCACATCAACCATCAATTAGTGCTAGCCATACAGATGTAATGCACAGTCGTGGAACAGACACTTTAAATAAATCATCAGATCAGCCGGATTTGAATTTATCAATTGGAGAATTACAGAGTACACAAATGTTGAAAGTAAACACATTTGTCAGATTTGCTTTTTCTATGGATACATTGATAATAGATTTATTAACTTGCAAAGAGAAAAAAGGACAGGTATGAAATAATTCACTAACATATGTGCATATTTCAAAACATATAAAAAATTAAGACAGTTATTCAATATGTTTTACTTCTTTATAAATTTTAATTTAATTTTGATATTAGAACAATAAATGGTATGTTATTGCAGGCATCAGAGCATAAAGGATTAGCTCGATTTAGTTTACAAATATTATCTTTGAAAGGTCATTTATTCTCAGATGGTTCTCTTACCACATCTATATTGCTTGTTGATTGTTTGTTAGATGACACCAGGCCTGGTCGGGATAACAAATTAAAACGGTAATTAGCATATGAACAGTAGTCATATTGTTTTTGAAAATTTAATTTTTGTGATGTTATTTATAATATCTATTTGCAGTAATTAGTATTATTTTGATTTTTCAGTTACATTGAGAGGAGAACAGATAATGAAACGACAGTTGATACAAATCAGGATAATTCAACAAGAAGTATGATTGATATTACATACAGAACTAAAGGGGATGATACTTTTGGTATATTAAATTTTTCAATATAAAATTTTTCTGTTCTGTGTTTGTTCTATATAATTTGTTTTTTCTAGCTGATGTTCGTGTATTCAGTTTCAACTTAATTTTGAGTGTGGACTACTTATTGACTGTAGCAGATTTCTTTACAAGTTCTATGAAACCAGAGGAAACTGAAGGACAGTCTGATCAAATTCAAGCACCAAATGTGCAAAGTGCTAGTACATCAACAACTATGATAAAGTGACTAAAATAATAATAAAATTATTAAAAAACTATAATAGTCTAAAAGCTTTTCACTATTAAAGAATTTTGGCTTGTATCTTTAGGCTATGTTTGCATTTACTAATGCACTAATTTATTTAAATGAAAATATTATTTATTTACACATGTATAATCAGTAATTTGATATTCTTTAATACTTGTTTAATAATTTTTCAGAATGAACAAGCCCTCAACAAGTAAAGTTTTAACTGAAGTAAATAAAAAGCCAGAAATTAAATCAATGATGACATTAAATGTCCGAGTTGAGAAACCAGATATAATTTTAGTTGAAAGCATGGATGATATTAACTGCAATGCCATTGTATTAAATGTAAGTAATCAGTTTCTAACTTAGATTCTATTTATTTGTTCATTTAATTTCTAAAATATATTAGAATTACCTTTGATAGTGTGCAAATTATAAACTAAAGATAACAGATGGAAAAATTTAGAGTATTTTAAAGTTTATAAACAGCTTTTAAAATACATACAGAACACTTAATGTAAAACCAAATATAAATCTAATATAATTATTAACTAATAAAAATTTTATCCATTAACTTTGATGACAAATTAAAAGATACAAATTGATTAATTTAAGTTATAAAGTTCTATGAATATTATTTTATATTTTTTTATGTAATAAAATCATTAAAATTAATTTTCAGAATGAGATTATAATAAAACTCCGAAATTCAGGAGATCACATAGTTGTTAATGGAACAATAAAGGACTTAAATTTATACACATGTGTGTACAATCCTGCAGTGCGATCAAAAACCGTCCATAACATTCTTAAACCATGCAGTATCAGTGTAGCAGGTTCTGGTTTAGGAAGTCGTCAAGGATCTCGTCTTGATCTTTGTGTTACAGAAGTTATTCTGTGTGTTTCTCCAGGTAAAAATATATAGACTAAATTTAATTATTATATTGACTTTGTTTTATTTATTTTGTTATTTAAATCTTTTTATTTAAGCAACCATTGAACTATTGAATAAAATATTGGTAACAATGACTAGTAAGGAAGATGCTTCAGAAGATCAAGTAATTGAAGAGATTGATTACTCCAACATATGGAACATAAAAACATTCCAGCAAGAAGAATATTGGTTTTTGAAAACTGGTAGGTTTTTTCAATGATATAAACATTTTCTATTTTTATATAAAATGTGAGAAATTTATACAGTACAAAAATGTATCATCTGATTAATTATCTATTATGATTTTTTTTATTTATTTATAGATGAAGCTGTTGATGCACTTTCATTTGAAGAAATCAAAAATGCAAATGAGCCATTCGATAATTCAACAACTTTACAAATACCTAATGCACAGCAAGAATTGTGTTTGGTGTCTATGCCTCGAATAGTTTTAACCATTGAAGCTGGAGTGGGCAACCAAACCTTGCCTATGATTTTGCTGGAGACCAGTTTCCAGGGTTCTGTGAAGGACTGGAATTCAAAGGTAATTAATATTTGTGATCAATTTTTATGATAGCAATAATGGTAGCTACTGGAGTATATTATGTACAACCTAGAGATTTGATCAGATTTGATTTTTTCCAAATATTTTTATATATTTTATTTGAGATAACAAATATTTATGAAAAAAGCAATAGATTCACAGCATGTAATATTTTTTTCTATAAGAATTAAACAGCATTTTAGAAGCTTCACAGTTTGTAAGTGGTGATATATTTTCATATGATGAAAATACAATTATTTTAAATTTTATTTTATAGTTAAGTGTGGAAAGTACACTAAGTGTACAAATGTCATATTACAATAGCACTATTGCGACATGGGAGCCAGTTATTGAACTTGTCGAACAACCAATTTCTAACAAACAAGTAGTCAATGCAACAAATTATCAACCATGGCAACTAAAACTTCAGGTGTATATCAAATTTTTATACTTTTTACATAATTAAGATAGATTGAAATGAAAAATGCTTTTTGTAGGTCCAAATGAATCCTCAAGAAGATGATGAAGATAATTCTAGCGACTTGCAACGACGTCCAGGAATGAGTATCAAAGTTTCCAGCTCTGATAATTTGGAGTTAACTGTTACCAAGACCGGTTTAGAAGTATGAAAATATAACTTTATAAAAAAAATATTTTAATCTTCATTGATTTTGTGAGATAACAATTAATACAACTATTTATATATCTTTAATATATGTTTTGAAATACATTTCATTACACTTTTAGGTATTTTCTACATTGGGCAAAGCCTTTGGAGAAGCAATAAAAAGAGAAGGAACTGCTCTTGGAGGACCAAAAGCTCCTTATGAAATTAGAAATGATACAGGTATTGTTATCCATGTTAATTATAGACATAGTGAATACTTTTTATAATCATTATTCATGGGTTTTATTTTAAATTAAAATTAGGTATTAGTATATAATAATATCAGTATATAATATATTATTATAGGATAATTTGTACATAATTTGCAAGCAAATTGAAATTTTTTTGTTGATTTCATTCATTGAATGGTATACTTTTAATTATACATATAAATGCGTTTTATGCTAGTCTTGATTTAAATTGGCACACAAAATTAAATCTTATTGAAAGTTAAAAAATATATTTGAATAATTTAATCATATACATCATTAATACATTAATTTTGTTGCATAAATTAGTTTAATTTTACAGATACATTTTTTTTTTTATTTTATTTTTATTCTGCAATCTATAAAAATAATTATATTTAGCAGAGAATGCTGACAAGTGTTTACAATTGGTTGTTTACAAATTAGCACATACGCCCAGTGGTGTATCTACTATAGTTAATATATAAAAAAGAAAAAACTAAAGACAAGTATAGAGAAAAAAAATATAAATATAAAAATAAACTATAATAAATCTCGAGGTATTTTCCTTTTGAGCCTGGTCGGCTGGCCTTCCTGGTATAAGTTGCATGCTAGTTGGTTTGGATGTGCGTCAATTCTATTCTTATAATTACAGGCAAACATTGATATATGTTCTTGAATTGTAGGTATACCCGTGTCTTTGTGGAGAATCCATGTTGGCGTGTAGTGAGGAGCGTTTAATATTTGCCGCAGGAATTTGTTTTGTGCTCGTTGTATTATGTTTAAATTGCTCTTTTTAGCAGTACCCCAAAGTTGTAATTAATTTTACAGATACATGTTTCGTTAAATGTGATATTACAATATTCTTATATAACATCCTGAAGGAGAGTTTTGGTTTTGCAGGAAAATCCGATTTAGTAATTTTTATATCCACTTCAAATCAAACTTAAATAACCTTTAAAAGTAACCATTTTGCTTGATTTTATCATTTACCAAGTGTACTCAATTATTAACAGTTCTAACATTTTTTTTCCAGGATTGGATATAACATTGCTCCTAGAAAATGGACCATTTGCTGCTCAGAGTGAAACATCATCTTACAGCGAGGTCGTCCTGTGCAGCGGAGCTCGAGCTGACTTACGCCTGCGTCCTGATGCTAATGGTGATATCAATATTGACCACAAGTCGACATCTGTGATGAAACGATCAGGGGAAGACATGTCTGCTTCGGAACATGATAAATACATCAAAATTAAGGTAATAAAGAATAATAAATATATCTGTAATAATATTAAAGTTTTGTGAAAATATGAGTCTACTCTAAATTATGAGTACAAATTTTTGGGTAAACCTCATGTGTGAATTAAATTTTCACACATTTTTTGTTATTTATATCACGGTATTTCATAAAGTTTTAGTATAACTTTGATCAAGTTTTTACTTTAATTGAACTTTATACTATTAAATATAAAACCATTGTATAATAAATAAATTTAACACACTTTTTATTACAGGTTGATAAATTGAATATAGAGCTTTCTTTGCCTGTTAGTAGAGCAGACTGTCGCTACTTCCCATTATCCAGAGGCGAAACTGGTAATTATAGATTTTTATATATACTTGAGAAAGCATATTTTTGTTAGATTTACCAAATATTATATACTTATTTTGCAATACAATAGATTACAAAAAAATATTAGAATTGTATTTTGTACACAACATAAAAACGTGCTCTAATCTTCATTCATAGGATTTTTTATGAAATCTTCAACAAATTTTATATGTTTACAAGTATTTTCATTACAGGTGATACATGGGGTTTAATATCTGAAGTCCGTGTAGAAGCAGGCAGCACTATTATCATTATAAGAAGTATAGTTCAAGTGTATAATCATCTTATGGGACCAGTAGATGTATACTACATGACCAAACAGGTACATTTTTTCACAGATATATATTCAAAATTTTGAGAATTGTTCCTAATTAAACTTTTTGCGTTACAGGGCAATCAGGTTGAATGTGTTGGAACCGTGGATCCTGATACATATCTTAATTTGCCTTTGACTTCAGTGTACACCAATACAAATGAAATATTTTTCAGCATTCCTGGGTATTCTTTGTCTGTTATACCATTTGTGTGGAAGGTAAGAAATAGAATAGATTATAAAATAAATAATTTCAATTATTTTATCGTGGTCAGGAAATGTTATACTGCAGATTTGCGGTTAGTAACTCACTATTCATAAGTGAGTTCCTGGTATTGCAATTTATTAGAATTTGGAGTTCTGCTTTAGAAATTAATTTGGCTTAACTTTATATAATATGCTTTTAGTAATTAATTGTATGACTTTTAAATAATAATATTTTTATTAGTATCGTGACCAACCCATTTAGATAAAAAAACATTTATAAGATTTTCCAAATTGCATACTAATGTAACTATCAATGGGATAATAAAGATTAACAAATAATCTTTACAGCAGACATCTAATTAGAAAATATTTAAATTTTTGTAGGTCTACTATATGACTAAATTTTCATCAGGTAATTGTATTATAATATTTATTTAAAATATTATAAAATTGTATTTTATTTATAGGAATTGCAGAGTACTGTTTCTTTATCCAAAGTTATGAAATGCGAATCGAAAAGCCGAGACGATCGTGATTCTTTCTTCATAAAAGCAGTGGGTGAATTGAAACAGGTATGCTATAAAAATTATTTTATTTTTTTACAAGAAATTCAATTATAGTTTTGAAAATAATCCACAGTATTTGTTCAAGATCTAAAACACCTTTCATAATTAATAAAAATTTTACAATTTGCAAGTTTTTTGGTTTTCTTGCGAATTTTTCCTAAGACATACAGTAAATTTAAGTACATAACAAAATTTAAAAAAAAAATTGTACAAAATAAAAATTCTTTTCCATTACTAATGTTTTTTTATTTCTTTCCTTGTAGTTTCACCTAATTATTACCAAATTGTATTACTATTATATATTTTTTTTATTTTCAGGTTTATCATGAAAATACATCACGTCATACTTTAGCAAGTTCTTGTTACACAATCCATTTAAGACCAGGAATAGTGTTCTACAATAGACTTCCATTTGGAGTTATGATGTGTACTGGAGGCGCGAGGGAAACTCTGGTTAAACCAGGAGATTCTCTTCAATTGCCCAATGCTGAACCAGGACATGCTGTTTTTGTCATGAGGGTGAGCTAATAATTTTACTTAAGAGAAAGATCAGTGGGAAAATAAAATTTTATTTTTTTATGAAATTCTACTTCATAAGCATTATCCATCATTTCTATAGATGAATCTTCTTGTTTATTTTAATGCATGCCCTGGGAAACTTTCTCAATGTAATATGACAAATCTCTTTTTTTGACAACTACTTTTTTTTTAAATATTAATTATATAACTAAGCACATTATAAAAATCGTTAGCATATATAAAATAATTTTTTTTTCTAAGTATTTGCAATAATTTATCCAAAATATCACTAATGTTTGATTATTATGTCCATTTTAGTTGGATAATTATTTGGAGAAAACATGGTCCTGCCGTCACGAGTTACCCAGTCAACCTAGTGAATTCCAAGTATGTTCATTTGATTCGCACGATTCTTCTCAAAAAGTGACTCTTGATTTGGGAATGCACACCAGGGATAAAAATGGATCATTATCTATGATCTTATATTGTCCATTTTGGATGCTCAACAAAACAGGATTGGAACTATCTTATAGGGTAGGTTGAAGTTTATATTAATAGATCATTCAGATAGTCTTTAGACAATAGGTTCAGAGTATTACAAGTAATTTTTATTAACAGTAAAAATAAAAGCTATAAAAACCAAAGATTAAAGCAAAAAATTATGTGTAATTCAATGATTTCTAAAACAAATTATATTTTATATTTAAATTTAATTTTCTAGTACATAATATAGGAGATGCATAATAAGAAGAAATAATTATAAGATTGCAGCTAAAAATATATATAAATTGATGAATCAAAAAATATCTTTCGAATTCTCTTCCATTTCAATTATATGATTGTTTTAGTTTTTGATGAAGTGTAGACAGTACAAGATAGTTCATCAGTTTTAAAATTTTACAATATATTGATTATTAATGTTCACTCCATTAATAAATTCATATTTTGTAACAAAAAGTGCTAATATTTTTCCAGAAATCACGAAAAACCGAAAGAAACGAGCTGTCTGGTTCACCTAATAAGGTACACCGACAAAATTCATACGAATGGCTCGCTTTTCGTACAGTTTTTAATACTTTTGTCATTATTGCTTGTTTTCTTTTTATTAATTTTATGGCATTATTTTGGTGGCTTTATGATAATATATGGAAATATTAGTATGTTTTTAAATAAGTCTTAAAATACTTTTTATAAATATTTTAAATGCGATATTGCATATTATAAGTATATGTAGGTATATAACATATAATAAGGCATGATTAATTTATGTAAATGTGATTTTACCTGCATCTTTTCATGTGTTTTTATAAATATTTTTTCGTAGCTTATTCAAAAATTGATTCAAATATGCTTCAAAACGTTTTATTACGGTTTTGTAATTTTTATAATATTATAATGAATTATTTAGCACTGCAGTGCATCGAATTTACTATTTTCTTGTATGCCTTACATTTTTATTTCAATTTTATCATTTGCCTTTAAATGCATCTCATATTTATTTAGGAATTGTACTTTAACATTTTATCTTTGCATGAGAAAAATGATGTAATTAATTCTCGCAATATTAATGAATACCACATACCATTTATTTGAGAAACTCTATTATTTTAAATTTATTATATTGTTAATTTGCTCATATTTGCTGATCAAATATTTATTAAACAATTTAATTAATACCTACATGTTTAATATTATTTATTATCAATTAACATTATTAATTAATTTTGTGGAAGGGTCTTGTAACTAATAATTATCTATTAAATATTCATGTTCAATGTTGATTATATTATTGTGGATTATTATTATTATTATTATTACAAAATGTAACAATAAAAAATTAAATATACACAAGCAACGATATGCAAAGTGAGTATACCTATAAATAAGTACATATATGTAATATTAAAGTCTAATTAAAAGTAAAACTGTGATTAATTTTTATAACGCGATAAAATTGCTCTTGGCATAATCTATGTCAATGTTTATATTGATGAAACGTTAAATATTATTCGCTCTTGGCATGATGTATTTGATTTCCCACTTTTATCAAATATAAATTATCAATTTGATTTATAGAATAGCGACGAATCCGCAAATGTGCTGTACCATCCTGCTGATTACACTGGACCACTTTTGTTTTCGTTCAGACCACGTAACTTCTTCGGTAAGAAAAAGGCGGCAGTTCGAGTTGGTACAGGAAAATGGTCTGAAAAGTTTTCCTTGGATGTTGCTGGATCTTCTGGTGTTGTGTCTTGTCATTCGGACGATGGACGAGTTTACCAGGTAACTTATAACACAAAATGAGCTATTGATAATTGATAATGAGCTATATTATGATTAATATCTGATTTATTTCAAATGTTTAGATTGGGGTAACAAATCAATTGACTTACAATAGTTTGACCAAGCAAGTTACATTTAGTCCGTACTACGTCTTAATTAATGAGTCCAGAATTTTGATGCAATGTCAAGAAGCTGATCGACCTGGCGATTCTTGGATACAGGTAAATATAATTACTAATATTTGTTATAATTAAATTATAATATAAAGTTTGTGTTTCTTGATTATATCCAATTGAATATACAATACAATTGAAAAAGTGCGTTCGAGTCTAATTTAAAATCTTTCCTGTGATCAGGTAAATGCTGGAGAATGTCAACCATTCTGGCCCCGATCTGAACGTGAAGATAAACTGCTTTGGATCAGGTGCGGTACTGATCCTGAAGTAACTGCACCATTTATCTGCAACAATGTACAAACAACTCTACTGAAGTTGAACAACAAAGTAAAATATGATTTTTGCATATAATTAAAATGATAAATATCTTATATTGACATTATTTTAATTTTTAGTATGGCGGTGTTCAAATTGAAATACAAGTGACAGAGGGTTCAGTGTATATAACCATGATGACATACGCTCCAGGCATGGCACCAGCTTTAATAGTGAATAATACTGATGTTGAGCTCAGCTTTTGGGAGAAGGAATCGATTAATGTCAGGTAAAATAAATTCTTGGCTAAAAATTGTTTTTTAAAGTACAATATAATTATGGAAATAAATATTTTCAGACAACTGCCAGCAAAACATCGAATGTTCTATACTTGGGAAAATCCAGCAGGTCCAAGAAAACTTCTATTTGATACTGGCAAGAAAAATGATGCTATTGAACACGAGCTTATTAAAGATGACACTGGATCATTTACGTAAATATTCAATAATAAATTACTTATATATTATTACCAGTTATGCTAATTATATTTCTTTTAGGTTGCCGGACAATTCGGAAGTCTTTTTCGCGACTTTCCTATCAGGAATGCAGCGGACAGTTTTATTTTCAAGAGATTTGACGGAAACCAAAACCGGTTTAGATGCTCATGGTTTGGAAGCTCGGATGGACCAGGAAATAGAACTAGAAGCTCATGGAGTTGGCTTGTCTTTAGTTGATGATTCACCTACTAAGATGAGGGAAATTTGCTATATTGGAATTGCCAGGTAAAATATATTATTTAGTTATATGCAGTTTGTATGTTTTGTAAATTGCAATGATATTCTGATTTTTAGTTCTGGTGTCATTTGGGAGGCCCGCAAATTGTCATCTAAGCGGTATAAACAGCTTTCTATAGGAGAATGTGAAAGAATTGAAGCAGCTTACCAGAAATATCAAAATGAGTTGCAAATGTATGGCTCCAGTCCAAATCCTAAAGTTTACATTGATGATAAAACTGAGGTATAAGTGATTGAAGATGGCATTACAAATAAATTCTATTTCCAATTCTTCTACAAATTTCAAGACTGGTTATCTATAAATTTATGTTTCTGCTATTTTTATTCACAGATTGATTTCAAGGAAATGATAGCCAAAGGTCCTCATTCGCCGCGGCGATTAAGGCGCACGTATCGCGCTGGTGCCTGGTTATGCATTGGAACTTCAGCTCATTTGACACACCTTCATGCTCGTCTGCACAGGTTACAGGCTGATTGTCAACTACCAGATGCAGCATTCCCTGTTGTATTAGCTCCTGTTGCGCCTCCTAAGAGTTTAGCCGATATTGGTAAATTTCATTTACAATTCATGATATTTTAATTAAGAATACTGCATTGCCAATTTTTGTTCCAACAACTTTTCTTGAAAATTAAGGATTTATTTTTGTTACAGTGCTGAAACCATTTGCTGAATTAAGTGTTGTGCAAAGAAACCTAGAACACAGTTCTGTAACACAATTTAAATATTGTCGTCTGTTGGTACAAGAGTTTCATGTAAAATTGGACTTAGGTTTTGTCAATGCTATTGTAGACATGTTTCAACCTGATGAAATTTCAGATAAAGAAGCTGTGAGTTTGAATAAGAATAGTAAAATAAAAATTTTATATAGTTGTAATTGTCAATTACTATAAATTCTTTGAATCAATATGACTACAAAGTCAAAAATCGAAGTATTATTCTATTCATAAATAAACTTTTACGCAAATGACCTTTTCTGTCCTTTCTGATTACAGGCATCACTATTTTCCAAAGATCTTTCTCTAGTGGAACAATCCCTAAAATCCTTAGTGGCCAGCCAGTCATTACAAGAACAAAAAAGTTTTTATGATTGTCTGCATTTCTCACCATTGAAGATCCATGTAAGTTTCTCAATGTCTGGAAGTGGCAGTAACAGCAGTGGAGGTGGTGGCGGAGGATTGCCTGATTTCTTAAGTGTTCTTTTGCAAGGTGTTGGAGTCACTTTGACCGATATGCATGATGTTGTATTTAGGTAACTGATGATGAATTAAATAATAAACTTAAATTTGAATGGTTGTTTGATTAATATATTTTTCTTTGTAGATTATCGTACTTTGAGCGAAATTACTGTTTCCTATCTCAAAAGCAGTTGGTTTCCGAGGCAACAAAACATTACACAGGCCAAGCTGTTAAACAGTTGTATGTGCTTGTGTTAGGTCTTGATGTAATTGGTAATCCATTTGGATTAGTGGTTGGCATCAGCAAAGGAGTAGAAGATCTATTTTATGAACCATTCCAGGTAAATGATTGGTAATAATGGAATTATTTCACTAACTAATCATAGTATTCAAAATGTTATGCATATATATTAATTTACAATAGTTGTATGTTGAGATCTTTATTTTAAAATATCAGGTCCTTTAAATTATATATTTTTACTGATATTGATATTCTTGGCTTTTGTTATATATTAATAAGATTTAAATAGTACTTTTATAGTTTGATTAATGAATCTTGTTTATCATTTAGCATTATTTTTTGTATTTCCTGAATTGGTGGTAAATATAATGTTATTAATATTTATTAATCCTTTTTTATTTTACAGGGAGCTATACAAGGACCAGGCGAATTTGCAGAAGGTCTGGTTCTTGGTATGAGGAGTTTATTCGGCCACACAGTTGGAGGTGCTGCAGGCGCTTTCTCTCGCATCACAGGTAGGATTTTTCAAAATACCTAAATATCAAATTAAATTAAAATATTTATTGAAATTATTTATCTTCCGACGGCGTTAAATTATCATGTGTTTTAATATTTGTACAATTCCATTGGAGCAATATTTGGTGCTGATTATTCCTTTTATGTCAAACTTTCATATCATTTACATCTTTTTAATATTTAAGGTGCCATGGGTAAAGGATTGGCAACTTTAACATTTGATAAAGAGTTCCAACGAAAACGCATGGACCAAATAAATAAGAAACCAGCGAATTTACAAGAAGGATTAGCCAGGAGTGGCAAAGGATTAGTTATGGTATGTGTGTTCATAAACAAATTGGTGCAAATAAATCATTTTTATAACAATATTTTTTTATATGTAGGGCGTTTTCGATGGTGTAACTGGAGTTGTAACACAACCATTACAAGGAGCACGTTCAGAAGGAGTTGAAGGATTCTTCCGCGGATTAGGACGTGGTGCTGCTGGTTTAGTTGCGCGGCCTACTGCTGGTATCGTTGATTTTGCTAGTGGCTCCTTTGATGCCGTCAAACGGTAAATATTTGCCAATTTTTGATCATAATTTATATATAAACCCAATGAATATTTTTCTTGTAATTATTAATTTTTTTTTAATTACCTTACAGTGCTACAGATATATCAGACGAAGTGTCCAGACTCCGTCCTCCGCGTTTGTTGCCGTCTACTACTGGTGGAGGTGGATCAGTCACAGCTTACAACAGACATGAGGCTGATGGCGCTAAGTTGTTGTCTGATTTAGAAAAAGGACGTTACATCGCCACTGATCGTTATAGGTATCATCTGGAGGTCACCAGCAAGGATACTCTGCTGCTCACTGATAAAAGAGTTGTTTATGCTGTTAAGAATGAACTGTTTGGAGGATGGCAGGTTAGTAAAAGAAACATTTTTATTATTATTATTTTATTATTATACTTATTGTCATTTACAACTTACCATAGAGGAAGTGTGCATTCGCCAGAAGTTCTGATTTAATAATTTTAAATTTTCTCGACGTTTCAATTAGTCATTCTGAATTATGATCACTTAAGTGATCTGAGCCAACATCCGAGCTTTCACCAATGCTTTCTCAAAAGTGGCTGCAACGATCTAATTTTTTTTTTTATATAAGGATTATATAAATGAATAAATGATAATAAGAATTTTTTATAAGAATTTTATTTCAGTTTCCAATTTCTATACATTATTTAGGCATCATAACTTATAGTCTATGCATATTTATCAAATTGATATTAATACATTAAATTAAATTTTATATATAAATATATATATATATATATATATATATATATATATTCTATATACATGAATTCATTCAAATATTTCGGAATGAACTATATTTAACAATAATAATAAATAATTTACTAATACTATTCATTTACCTTTTTCAGGTGGAATGGTCTTACACCTGGCACGAGATCAAAACACCTGTAACTGTGGTTCCTCGGGGTGTTCTTTTGTCTATGTCTGAACCCAAAAAAAAAGTCCTGGGCATGTTTGGTAATAAAGATTCCGGTAAATTGATTTTAGTCACTCAACAAGAACTAAAAGAGGATCTGGTTCGTAAAATGGAAGCACTCAGGAAAAATGTTTAAAAAACTATTCACGCACAAGTAAGTAACTAAAATAGTAAACACAATATATATATATATATATATATATATATATATATATATATGTTTTTTCACCATATATTTGATTATCAACTTTAAAGAATATCATCTTCACTTGCCTGACAATTTTATGAAACTTTACATGGTTATAGAGTTGATGGTCAAAAAGAATCCAATGAAATATTATTAGGCCTATGAGAAATGGTTATAAAAAAAAGAGTGCGCGTAAGGTTCACACGTGATTGAAGTAAAACTTTTTTCCTATTGTACGAGACGACATTTAATTTAAAAATAAACACATCATATAACAATTTTGAATAATGTTTATTAGTAATATGGTAACACTCGTGATGCACACATTTATTATTGTCGACCATTATACACATTTATATAATAATAAATTATAAATTATATATTTATAATAGCATTAAAAATATTTATAATATTTGAAAACAATTATGTAATTAAAGTCATACTTTAAATACGACATGATCGGTTTGTCATTGTAATTAGCATTTACGACTTATTTCTTTATTAAAGAAATTGCTGATTAATAAATTCTATAATATTCGTTCACACAGTGGATTCTGTTAAACAACGCCTAAAGAAATATTGTTTTCACAATTTCACTCTTCATGTAATAATTGTGTTTGAAGAACTTCATGTAATTAAAATTAACATACATTCATTGACTCATTATATTTTTTCACTTTTTCGCTGGCGATATAATCTCATTCTTTGAACAGCTGTAATATCTGTCTTGCCTAAAAAATACTTTCCAATTTAATAACTTAAAAAAATTATAGAAACTACGAATAATATAGAAATTATTTCAATGAACTTACGTTTAGTATACGGCACAAATGTTTTATTTGCTTTATTATTTTAATTCTAATTTTTACGGGGAATAGGGTAAAATATACTTCAAAAAATAATTTATGTTGGTGGGAACGTTTAAAACTGTGCGCTTTAATTAATTAATATCTCTTCCAAACCAATAATTAAACCACTTTTTATAGGCCTATACAATTTTAAGAGGTTTCTTTGGACTATTAATGTTAAAACCATTCAAAGTTTCTATAAATCTTTAGACGAGAGAAGCTGATTTTCCTGCAAGTTTAAATATATGAAGGAAAATTTATACTGAATATTTTGCTGGCTGGATTTTTACTTCTGAGCTATGGTTTCTTCGGAAAAGTTTCTTGAAATGACACATAAAAACAGGGTTGATACTAATACTATTATTCAACTACGATCTTTATCGAAATTTATAGTTGGGCAAGAATTGGATAAAAAAGATGCATTTGTTTAGTAATTTTGGAGATTGGGCAATGTGGATCCCTTTATTTGGTATTATTTTTTTTAAATTGGGATAAGAATTGAAATAATATTAAAATATTATATAAACTTAAAAAATACTTCTTTATTCTTTGATCCATATACATTTTTGGATCCATTACTCTGTTTTAATTTTGACTTCATAATCTTTCATCCAATTGAATTCTAGTTCCTCAATTTATGATTAGGTCGCATCGCCTGTTATATTTGCGTCGTATTTATAGACTTTATCAAATTCAGGATTTTTGGCCAACATTACCATATTGTTATTATTAAGTAAACAATTAAAACAATATCAAAAATGACATTTATTGGCTTTCAGATTGCAATGAGACCTGTGCCAAATCGTCAAAGGCATAAAATTTGAATTTTGCGCAGTGCGAACAACCAACAGAGCCAAAGATTTGATAAAAGTGAATATTTTTAACTCCAAAATTCAAAATACACAATCTCGAATACTTTTCCAACCTTTAGTTTGATACTAATTTTTAAAATTACTTTTGGAAACTGTTAGATTTTTCTAAGAATTTAGAAACTTTAAGATTAGATTAAGACTCATACGGCTTGTGCACTTACTTAAATCTCTTTATTGTTGTATTTATTAATGATTATATGTGAATGTGAAATTTTTATAGACATATCTCTTTGCAATAACTACTTACTACGCTGATAAATGTACATTTCTTTTGCATTATTAATACTGGAGTGCCTAGAAATTGTAAAGAAAATTCATACTTCATTTTCGCTTTTTCATCTACTATACTACGCTTTCCATAACACCATAAAAAATAATATAAACAATATTGAAATAACATAATATATATACAGAATTTGTGCATAATCCAATCAGTAAATGTAGTAAAAATTCAAAGATATTTTTACATTTCCTATAAAAGATTCTGAGGATCAGTGATTTATTACTATTAGTATTTCCTTCCCTAAGTCAAATCAATAACCAAATCTTCAATGTGTTCAAGCTTATTATTAATTTTATAAGGAATTATATATATTTTTCTATTACTATGAACTTACATATTTTATCTTTAAGATTTTTGAAAAAAAGCACAAAAATTTACCTAGTTTATATACAATTTGTGTACCTATTGTTGAAGATATAATATATGCTTTATGTATGTTAAATTACAAGTTATTTGTTACTCTCTGTTAAAGATAAATATTTACTACACAAGGCATTTTTGTTAATGTTATATTAATTACTAATAAATTAAATGAATGAAATATTAATTCCATTTATAGTATACATTATAGTATAGTATAATATTATATTGTTTATATTTCCAGTGGCCACGGTCTAGCGTTTCAAATGGTTTTAATTATTTCAAATTTTTGTAATTTTTGCCATTATTTTTATGAAACTTTTTATGATGGAGGTCTTGAATTCTTGGTCTATCCTGCCTTAAAAACGTACTAAAATATAAAGGCCCTACAACAAGTCGTTAAATTTTAAAAATGCGTAAAAAAATTGAAGAAATAAGGTACACTTTTTTCACATCAGACAAAATTTAGCTTTTTATCGATCCACGGATTTTTAAACAAAGTTTTTGCCATTTTTTTCAAATATTTAAAGATACCATGGATTTTTAAACAAAGATATTTTAACAAAGTTAAAAATGGCACTTGACCAGACCCATAATTTTAGTCTTTCAAATAATATGAAGAAAAAAGAGTGCGCGTAAGGTTCGCACACGATTGAAGTAAAACTTATTTACTACTGTACAAGGTGGCATTTAAGTAAAAATAAATACATCATATAACGATTTTGAATAATGTATTAGTAATATGGTAACACTTGTGATGCACATATTTATTAGTGTCAACCATCATACACATTTATATAATGATAAATTATAAATTATATATTTATAATAGCATTAAAAATATGTATAATATTTCAAAACAATAATATAATTAAAGTCATACTTCAAATATGACATGATCGGTTTGTCATTGTAATTAGCATTTAGAAATGAACCTTCATTAGAGAAATGAAGTAATTGCTGATTAATAAATTCTATAATATTCGTTCACACAGTGGATTATGTTAAACAACGCCCAAACAAATATTGTTTTCGCAACTTTACTCATCACGTAATTGTTTTTAAAGAACTTCATGTAATTAAAATTAACATAGATTCATTGATGCTTGTATTTTTTTTTACTTTTTCGCTGGCGATATAATCTTATTCTTTGAACAGCTGTAATATCTGCCTTGCCTAAAAAATATTTTTCATTTTAATAACTTCAAAGATTCATAGAAACCACGAATAATATAGAAATAATTTCTAATCGATAAATTTACGTTGATTACACTGCACAAATGCTTAATTTGTTTTATTATTTTCAAGGAGCAGGCTAAAATATTCTTCTGATTCAGGCATTTTTAATTAAATCAATATTTGTACTACGATGTAACTTTAAAATGTTTATTTATCTAAGCCGATTTCTTTGTTGATATCGGTACACAAACAATGTTGATGCCGGTACGCATACAACGACAGATCTCTATTGACATACGACGACTAATCACAATCGACCCGTGTTGAAATGATTTTATCGAGAGCTAATGATGAACAGTTCGGCGTGACGGACTTCCGTTGCATTTTTACGGATTTACAATCTAGTCGCGCCTAAAGAAGTTTTACTTCAAAAATATTTATATATGATTAATGTAGAATAATGTCGTAATCGCATGACCTACCGACAAGTTAACATTTTTTTTTAAATTCTAGACCAGAATCTACAAAAACTGATTACAAAGTTCATGATAACTTGCGAAGAAGTTAAAATTAAATCATGATTTTAATTCATGAGTGATCATGAATTAAGATTAATTCATGTTCACTTGCGAAGAAGTTTGTAACATGTTTTAACAATATTTCACCAACATGTTTTGTTACTCATAAACATGTGCTAAGTAATCAGGAATCTAATATCTTTGCCAATTTATTGAAATTTACCGTGGATTCAGTACCATATATCAAGTAAAATTATTGTCTGGCGTTCGATGTGCATCGTCATTGTCATTGCGAATGTGCATATTATTAAATGGATTGTTCCTTATTTAAAGTTTAAAATAGAACTTGTTGATAATGTTCTGATCATACGAGAATTGCGGAATGGCACACGGAATACAAAATACAAATGCACTAAATGTTCATTTACTGCACATGTGTAATGCATCAGACATCTACATGCTGACGACGATTTTATGTGCATTTTTATCTTCAGAATGACCCAACAGTTTCATAAACATCCATCGAAACGATGCAAGTAGACAGGATATTAAAACTGTTTTTTTTGTATTTTGGATATAGGATTAGAGATACTCATTAGATGAAACATATGGTAATTAAATTAATTACACTAAAAGAAAATATTAAGCCTAACACTAATATTAAGTAATGCAATAATAACTTGAAGAGAAATTACTTGTGATAATGTGATAGTTTGTTTAAGGCGTGATAATAGTTAGATATCTGTTGCTTAATTTTTTAAAGTCCCGAATTTGGAAAATAATACTAAGATCAGAATCAAGACAAAATGAAGTGTGAAAATAATTATAATAAAAACATTCAGTTCAGAAATCTCCTACTCCTACAAAGAGAACTCAGTGAGAAATCTCCTACTCCTACAAAGATTTAAAAAAAATGGGCATATGATTTTAATAAATTATCAAAAAATGAAAAAAGGAGATATCTCATTGAAGATAAACTCTTTAAATGCTTAAAGACCAGCATATTGTCTGAAAAAATAATGGATAATTTTGATCAGCAATAAATATATGCAAAACAATCTAGCGGTGCATGGCATCGTGCCTTAAGGCAAATTGCTGGAACTTCCCGTACCGAAAACTAAATTATTAAAAATAACTTTGCAAAACTTTGAAAAAGTTAGATTTTTGAAAAAATTTGACTTTCTTGAATCTTTTTTTATCTAGCGGTGCATGGCATCGTGCCTTAAGGCAAATTGCTGGAACTTCCCGTACCGAAAACTAAATTATTAAAAATAACTTTGCAAAACTTTGAAAAAGTTAGATTTTTGAAAAAATTTGACTTTCTTGAATTTTTTTTATCTTGATTTTTTTTAAAAAATCTTGAACATTTTTATAAGCGATCGCGCTGTATACTTGATTTGGAGTCAAAATATCAAAGCGCGTAAGCGCTGCGTAGTCGTCTTACATGTAAACAGTGGTACGGAACCCATATAAATGTACACAAAATTTGTACTTATTATTATAATCTTTATAAAATATCTGATAATAGGATGTCCATATGTCTATTTTATATTTCCTTAATCATTTTATATATATTTTTTTCCTTTTTTTATTGGATCTCCGGAGACGCTGGACCTTCCTTTACAAAATTTTACCATTTTGTTCATACAAGTAAAATGTTTTTTGAATTACTTAAATCGGACGCTCCGTTCTCTTAAAAACCGTGTTACCGTTCTTGGCACATTTTGCTCCGTATCTTCGGAACGGCTAGACCTGCCAAAAAATAATCTCCTTATCAGTACGAATCGAATGTTTTTTGAATTATTTAAATCGGTTGATCGGTGTTCCCGAAATCGTCGACGAAAATTTGTATCCGCACACACACACACGCACACACACACATACACACACATACATTCATTTTTTTAAGGTATGCCAAATATTCAGAAACCTTTGAAACGTAAAGATTTATTAAAATTTTCATTTTCGATGTTTTTGCGATTACTATAACTTACCCTACGGGAAGTTAAAAAATAAAGCTAGTGGTGCATGGCATTGTGCTTTAAGGCAAATTGCTGGAACTTCCCATACCGAAAACTAAAAAATAATGGCCAAACTTTGACCTACCCTATGTTCAACGTTGCACTCATTTCAAAAATTTAAAAGCCATTTTTTGAAACTTGATAAGGGCTTCATACTATTAACTGAATATATATATATATATATATATATCATAATTTAATTACACCAAAAACTTATACCTCAATATCTTTTTAAATCATGACCTAATAGCGTCTACGTTAAAAATAGATCTAAAACATATGAATTGTGCAACTAATAATAAAATATGTGATCACAATTTTTAATTAACTATATATATATATATATATATATATATATATATATATATATATATCGATTTTAATATGTTTGGGTATGTGAATATTCCGAAGCATGTGGCGCAATATCAAAGATTTGTAACTGTTTGCATAATCTGTTCAAATATACAAACTATTTATTTGAAAAGTGATAAATGGGCGTCCACACAATATGTTTTTTGTCACTTAAAATTTGTATTAGTTGAGCAAAAATTGATTTTTCTCTCAAACATTCATCGAATAATAATTCATATTTCTTATGCAATTTTTCCATTGCTGAGAATATAAGAATAAATTTAAATAATCATTTCTGGTGGTATTACGCAGTTAACAAATAACTTAATTTTTCATAAGTAAGGAATTATTCTTACTGTTTTATGAACTATTGTATATAATTTCTAAAACCTAGCATTATGAAAAGGCGATCCAGTGGTTGTCCACAAGATTCTAGTAAGGTTCTTATTAGATTTAAAAAAAATTCAAAACTGTTGGGATATTTTACTGCAAAGGCATAAAACAGGACTTCTCAAACTTCTGAGATTCGCAACCCCATTTATGATAGCAAATTTTTTTGATGACCCCATTTATGATAGCGAGTTTGTTTTTGACCCCAAATGCGGTCGCAACCCATAATTTAAGAAGCCATTTCCTAGAAGGCTTTTGCACTTGGAATCATTTTCAGACCAATATTTTCATGTGGGACTGATATCACTACTGCTTGATATGAAGTTGTCCGGGACTCGAGTATAAGATAAGACCTTCGATGGATATCACGAATTTAGATTCTAAGAAATATAATATATTTATATTATTATTATATGTCATATAACTTTAGCATCAATAGAAGACAACCCCATGGTTGTCCTTTGCCTTTGTGATGAGATCATCATAAGATTATAACTAATATTGATATTTGACTTGATTTGTTGAACAATGTTCAAGTCTTTTTCTACTTGGAATCTTAGTTAGGTCTATATTTTCAAGTAGAAACTGATCATTACTGCTTGATATCGAGCTGCCTGAGAGAGGAGTAAAACCTAGAATCTTCTAATGGTAATAATGAATTTAGCATTTAAGAAATATGTATTTTTAATACCTATTTTTATTCCTGCTGCATTATAGTTACTTGCTGTTATTTTAGAATAGGAGTACAAATTATTGTATAAAAATAAAAAAATATTACATTGTTACTTGAACAGGAACTATTTTTAGCATTCTATAAGCTGTTGTGATGTCTTTGTTCTAATATTAGCAGCATCAATAGAAGGCAACCCAATGGTTGTCTTTGGCCTTTATGATGATATTATTATTAGAAATATTACAAACAGTGAGTTGATGCCCGTATTACCGCATGCAATGCACTAAAAGACTATTGTTACTTGCAATTGTTTTTAGATTTATATACACAATTGGAAACTGATATGACTACTGCTTGATATTAATAGGCGGGAATAGAACCTAGTTCCTTGCGGATGAAAAAGCAAGGCTATAACAAAAAAAACATGGGCAAGCTCAAGAAATTATTGTCTATTCATGTGAATATTTTTTTATTCTTTAATATGGTGCATGGAATTTAGTATTTTGCAGAAATATCTCGAAAAGGTATTTTTACTTGGAATCATATTTAGATTATATTGCACAAGTAAAAACTGATATCACTACTGCTTGATATCAAGCTGCCAGAGACGGTGATAGAACCTGGATCTTTGTGGTTTTAAGACCAAAGCTATAACTGAAGACCAAGGATTTCACTCAAGAACCAAGAGTTATATAGCTGAAATGGTTAATATTTTTTTATTATTCTATATAGTAAATGGATTTTAGTATATTGCAGAAATGAGCAAAAAAGCTATTTTTACTTTGAAGTATATCTAGATTTATTTGCACAAGCTGATGTTATTACTGCTTGATATCAAGCTAGCAGGGATGGAATTAGAACCTGAAACCTTGTGATTGCAAAAGTAAAGGTATAACTGAAGAACCAAGGACAAGCTCAAGTATTATATAGCTGAAATGGTTAATATTTCTATATTATTCAATATAGTAAGTGGATTTTAATATATTTCAGAAATATCCCGTAAAGCTATTGCTTGATATGTCACTACTGCTTGATATCAAGCTGTCAGGGACGGAAATAGAACCTGGAATCTTGTGGTTGTAGGAACAAATCTATAAACAAAGACCACGGGTAAGCTCAAGAAATTTTTTTTTATTCATTTACTTATTTATAACATAGTAATTTGTACACCTGCCCTGAAATAGATAATAAGTAAATTTGTAGGAAAGAATGACTTTAAAAATACAAAATCGTTTGGTTCGCTCATTCTTTCATTATCAGAGATTTTGGAAATTGATATATTTTAATGTAATATGCTTTATATTTTTAAATTTCTTATTAATCCCCCCGGTAGTGTTGTGTTGTAGTTCTTCGGCAAGTGGGTTTGGATGATCCTCGAGGCGGCTTTTGTAATTATTTATTGTAATTTTGTGTTCCATCGGTACACACTTTGGGGATCAAAAAATAAATGCCTCATGGTGTATTTTTAATATTTACTGTAAAGTGGTATATAAAATTTGATATCAATGATAGTTGAAACCACGTGGCAACCGGCAAATACCACCAAATATCATTAATAACGTAAAAAATTCCGTTGTGCATTATAATTGTTAATAATATTGCTATTAATATTTGAAACTAAAACGTGTTTGACATATCATGAGTTAAATATTTAAATCATTTTTTATTATGTAAATAGGCTAAACTGTTGTATTGTTAATCCAGCACGGACCACGATATTCACGTGTCGTATTGTAGCATACAAGCGCATTCGTCGTCTCTTTCTCTCATGAAAGGAATACATTGACAGAAAGAGGATAAAAGACTAGTGGTGAATTATTTAAAGTGAAATATTTGAAATTATGAATAATATTTGGTAATGAATTATTTTTTGTGTATTGTTGTGTGTATTAAACGACCAGTTTATTAAGTGCAATAATGTTTAATAATGACGATGTTATTTATAGTGCGTTTCCCATACCCCAGTAAGGGAGTAATCCCATTACCATGCATTCAGTTTCTGCCAAGCAGTCGCACTGCGCACCTCGTACAAGTCGGGCGCCATTACACGTCGGAATATATAAATGAAATAATTGAATTAAAAAGATTTTTAAGCAGCAACAAACATAGTCAAAAGTTCAGTCAATAGTTTAGTGATAATGTTATTAATTGTTCGGTGTAAATTAAAAATTTAGAAGTGTTTTAATACTGTTTTTATTGAGGAGTGCCACCTGTTGATATTGCATACATCGTGGATTTTGTTTACAATTTTTATAGGTTAGGAAATTGCACGCGTTGTTTTATGGTTTAATTTTAACGATTGATGTTGGTTATTATAATAAATTTTATTGAAGTGTTTGTGTCGATACAGACTATTAACTTGTTTTAATTTTGAAAACGTGGTAATAAAACAATTCATAACAAATTGTGTTTGAGGCGAAATAGCCTAATTTGCAAAAATATAAAGTGAAAATTAATTAGTGTGGTTACAGTGTAGGATTACCAACTTTGGATACTTCAATTCTTTCCGGCATTTTTAACAGTAAGTTTCTTCTCATTTATCATTTTGCGAAATTGATACAACACATTTAACCGATACCAATAATCTATAAATAATGGATTATTTTTATTTTCGTGTAATTTATTTCCACAAACATCTGATAAAGCGTAATTAAAATTTTGATAATTAGATTATTACTGATACGCCCGGAACGTGTGTTTGTTTGTTTATACATTTCGATTAATCTATTTATAAGTTTCTAAAGTTATATTGATAAATATTTAAATAAAGATACGATTGTTGTCAAAAATACTTTATCTTGTGAAATTCATTTGATTATTTTGTTTTTTTCTGCCAATCTTTTTGACATTAGGAAATTTCTAATTAGACTCTAATGGTACCCCTTTGTTGCCTTCTTGTCAATTGTTGTACTTCCAAAAAATCGCTATGTAAATTTTGTTAAATTAAATTAAAAGTGGTGATCTTATATAATAGCAAATATGTCGAGGTAAAATTAATTAATAGTTTTGTTTTGTTTTTGTATTTTTACTATTTTTTCCTGTATATTTTCTTGTAAATTTAAAATGTACCCTTTTGGTGTCATGTTGTCTGCCTGTCAATTGTTCTAACTTCAAATTTGAAAATTTGTCAACTTAAATTAAAGATGGCTGACCTTGTTTTATATAATATATTAGAAATTATTATAAAAATTAGGATGTAAATAAAATTAATGAACTGTTTCTTTCTTCTTGCCGGGTTAACTTTTTCCACGTGGTTAGTTAAAATCTAAAAGGTGCCCCTTTGGTGTTATTTTGTTGTCTTTCTGCCAATGGCAATCTTCAACAATACGCTATTTAAATTTTGTTAAATTAAATTAAAATTAGTGATCTTATATAATATCAAACATGTGGGTAAAATTAATTAATTGTTTCGTTTTTTCTTGTATTTTTACTATTTTTTCCTGTATATTTTCTTGTAAATCTAAAATGTACCCCTTTGGTGTTATGTTGCCTACCTGTCAATTGTTCTAACTTCAAATTTGAAAATTTGTCAAAATAAATTAAAGATGGCTGATCTTGTTCTATATAATATATTAAACATTATTATAAATATATTGAAAATTAAGATGCAGATAAAATTAATTAATTATTTCTTTATTCTTGCCGGTTATCTTTTTTGACATGGTTAGATACGTTAGATAAAATCTGAATGGTGCCCCCTTGGTGTTATTCTGTTGCCGCCCTGTTATTTGTAAATTTCAAAAAACAATTTTGTAAATTTTGTTAAAATAAGTTAAAGGTGGTCTTATATAATATCAAATAAGTAAAAAAGTATGATGTAGGTAAAATATATTAATTGTTTTCTTCTTAATTCTTGTCTTTTTGACATCTAAAAAGTACCCCTTTGGCGTTATGTTGCCTGCCTGTCAATTGTTCTAACTTCAAAAAATCACTTTGAAAATTTGACAAATTAATTTAAAAATGGCTGATCTTGTTATATTATAACAAGAATAACAATAGTAATAATATTAAACATTATTATAAAAATTAAGATATAGATAAAATTAATTAATTGTTTCTTTTTTCTTGTCGGTTAACTTTTTTGACTTGGTTAGGTGAAATCTAAAAAGTACCCATGTGTTGCCTTCCTGTCAACTGTTCTAATTCAGAAATTCACTTCAAAAATATGTCAAAATAAATTAGTATTATAGCTATGTGTGTGAATTGTAAACCTGTGTGAATTCCATTTCTAAATCTCACGTAGTGGTATCATTTGTTATTCGTATGATAAAAAAATGAGATGAATTTTTAACCGATATTCATTTTATCCAGATGTTTTCGTGAGTCTCTAGTCCGATCAATTAAGAGGTAATTTGGTTTCGACAAAATATTTTTATTTCTATTTTTTATCGCACTACCTATCCCGAATATGAAAATATTAAACAAAAAACTGGTTCCTTTCTGACGTAGTTTCTCTTTGTTTTGTTGTCTAGCGTTGATGGTAGATTTTATCCAATAAGAATCTTATAGTTTGATACAATAAGAATCTTGGTAGATTTTATCCAATAAGAATAAGAAATAATCATATAGTTTGATACAATAAGAATAGTGGTAGATTTTATCCAATAAGAATTTTATAGTTCCATACAATATGAATCTTGCTTCAGTTATTAATTTTTTTTTAACAATATGAAAGTACAGAGTTTGGGTGCATTTTTATACACAGTACAGTGTATAAAAAGGGATTCGTACCTCTTACATGCAAGTCGGCCACAAAAAGGGTCATTTTCACTTGAGATCTACTGCTTGATATTAAGCTGGCGAAAACATTGGATTAGTTTGTGAGAGCCCGCCAATTAAAGTAAATTCTGGACTTATATCACTATAAATATGAAACTCAATGTTTTCTTCATGTAATAATCAGAAAAAAGATTAAAGAAGAAAATATATTCAGCAATGATATTATGTAGTGAAAATAAAAAATGGGTGCAGGATGTTAAGTTAAGAAAGACAAAGGGTTCTCATTATTCTTATGCCTAGATTTAATTTGATATTTTATAAAAAATACTATCAATAATCATAATTCATCATATTTTGTTCAACAATATAAGAGTTAATACAAAACACCTGGTTGGTTAGTTATTATATTTAATGTTCTATAATATTTTTTTTTTTTTTTTTTTTTTATTTTATTTTTATTCTGCAATCTATAAAAATAATTATATTTAGCAGAGAATGCTGACAAGTGTTTACAATTGGTTGTTTACAAATTAGCACATACGCCCAGTGGTGTATCTACTATAGTTAATATATAAAAAAGAAAAAACTAAAGACAAATATAGAGAAAAAAATATAAATATAAAAATAAACTATAATAAATCTCGAGGTATTTTCCTTTTGAGCCTGGTCGGCTGGCCTTCCTGGTATAAGTTGCATGCTAGTTGGTTTGGATGTGCGTCAATTCTATTCTTATAATTACAGGCAAACATTGATATATGTTCTTGAATTGTAGGTATACCCGTGTCTTTGTGGAGAATCCATGTTGGCGTGTAGTGAGGAGCGTTTAATATTTGCCGCAGGAATTTGTTTTGTGCTCGTTGTATTATGTTTAAATTGCTCTTTTTAGCAGTACCCCAAAGTTGTAATCCGTAGGTCCACACGGGTTTGATCACAGCCTTATATATAAGTAATTTGTTGTAAGTTGATAATTCTGATTTTCTGTTTAAGAGCCAATAATAATTTTTGAAGATTAGATCTATTTGTTGTTTTTTGTTCTTTATGTGTACTTTCCAGTTGAGTTTCCTATCTAAGTGAATGCCGAGATACTTTATTGATTCTTTGGACGGAATAATTTCATCGTTGAGTACAACTGCTGGGCAAGTTTGGGTGCGAAGCGTGAAAGTTATATGAGCTGATTTTGTGCTATTTACTTCTATCCTCCACAACGAAAACCATTTCTCAGCTAAGCTGAGATGGTGCTGAAGGCTGTTGGAAGCTGCAGTCGGATCTTTGTTTGTGGCGATGATGCACGTATCATCAGCAAATGTGGCTAAACTCGTGTCAGTTGAAGTTGGAAAATCAGCTGTAAAAATTAAAAATAGTGTTGGGGCGAGGACACTCCCTTGAGGCACTCCAGAATTAATTTTGGTAATATTTGAGTCCGTATCGGCGATGCTGACAAAAAAGTTTCTATTTTGTAAATAGGATTTTATTAATAGGAATAAAGAATCTGGTAAACATCTTTTAACTTTATACATTAATCCGGTATGCCATACTTTGTCAAATGCCTGCTTGAGATCCAAAAAAGCCGCAGAACAGTACTCTTTATTATGCAGCGCATTGTTAATTACGTTTATTATTCTGTGAACTTGCTCAATTGTTGAATGTTTGTCGCGAAACCCAAATTGATGGTTCGGAATAAAACTTTGTTCTTGTAGGATTATTTTAATCCGTTGAAGAATTAGCTTTTCAAATATTTTCGATATGCAAGACAATAAACTTATCGGCCGGTAGGAAGATAATAGATAAGGGTCTTTACCTGGTTTCACTATAAGGATTATTTTAGCTCTTTTCCAAGACTGCGGAAAAGTTTTCATTCTCAGTATAGAGTTATATATTATTGTGAGCATTCTAATAGCTTTTCTTGAAAGTTCTTTAAGCATTTTAATAGAAATCCGGTCTGGTCCAGGTGATTTTCTAGAATTTGCTTTTGCAATTTCTTGGGTTACTTCAGCCGCAGTAAAACGATTAACATCATGAGTCACTAGCGACGGTGAATCCTGAAGAAAATCATAAATGAATTGTTCATCATTAGAGTTGCATTTACGTGAAAATGGCTGAAATGTGAGGCGCAGGTGTTCGGCGAATGCATTAGTTTTTTCTTCTGGACTTCTTGCCCATGAACCGTCTGTTTTTCTTAAAGGAGGAATTGGTACAATTGGTCTTTTCAATTTTTTGGTTGCTTTCCAAAGAGAATAATTTGTTTCACTACTTGCAGAAAGATTATGTAAGTAGTTTTCAAAAGAAACATTTTTATAATTTATTATTAAATTTTTCAGGTTTCTGCATGCACTGTTAAATTTTCTTTTATCTTCGGGTGATCTAGTTATTTGCCAAATTCTTCTTAATTTCCTTTTCTGTGCAATGATTTTTTTAATATCTATGGGCACAGAGTGACTGTGATTGTGATTTAGAATAGGAGTCGATATTTTAGCTGCTGCAATTAATGTATTTGTGAAGTTGTTGATACCGATATTCAAATCATTCTCACTTTTTAATGGAATATTACAGTTAATGGTGTCTTCGATGTATTCTTGGAAAAGAAGCCAATCGGTAAATTTGTTTGTAAGCGAACTCATGACTTTGGTTGGAGTATTAGTGGAGTATTTAAGAATTACTGGTGAATGATCAGAACTGAGATCCAGACTTGAATTTATTTCAACACTCTCGTTTTTAATATTTTTGGCTACAAAAAAATCGAGGAGGTCTGGAATTTTGTTCAAATCAGTTGGCCAGTATGTGGGCTCACCCGTAGAAAATGTC